AGAAAAACTTTTAAAATTTCCTCTCTACAGTGTGTTTCTGGGAAGAAAACTACTTCTTGAAAAGAGTTATTGATATACCTGTATTGGCAAGATTTCTCTGATAACTGATAACTGATAATAGGAGAGTACAGAAAATACCCAAAAAATGCTTAGGTACCAAGGCTAAATGGAAGAGCCATAATTTTCATAGTGGTGGTTCACAAAACTGGCTGCTGCTTTCAGATCCTCCTCACAAATGTCCTCTCAAGACAACCTTGCCCTTTTAGTAGGACCTACTAAATTTTTTAGGTCAGTTCTCCAAAAAAAGCAAGTGGCTGTTAAGTGCCACTTTGCAGGAGCTCCAAAGCTCCTCATACAGCAGATTCCCAACTATTGTCCCAGTTGTTTGTACCTGTGATTCCCAGGTCGAAGTGACTTCTAGAAAACATGCTTCTGGTTTGCACCAGTAGCAATCCCAGTAATCTCTGCAATCTGAATACAATTTTTTATTTCAAATTCATACTGTTGTGTTCAAAAGACTCTTTTTCAATTCAGCCTTTAGAACTTCTGTAGCTTTCCTGCTAAGAAATCCTGACCTCCACAGGGAATCCCTCAGATTCTCACATAGCTATAGGTGATTATAGTACTTCAGATATTTTCTTTCTTACTATGAGTAGCTGTTGTTGTGAAGTGAATATATAATCCAGGGAATAATTTCTCAAATTTCCATTTCCAGTATTTTTCTTCCTATTTTAAAGAGGTCATCATCTTTCCCTGAGATAAGATTTGCCTTTGAAGAGAGGGGAAGGAGAAATGCAGTGGGGGTTTCTTTGTGGCTTTTTCTGGGCACCAGAACTTCTTTTCTTTTCAATGTAGTTTGTTTTTTTTTTTTAATTGGGAAAAGAAAGACTGAGAATTAGACAGGGTGTATCTTTCATTGCCCTGGGCTAGGTCCTTTCCTCAGTTCCGGCACATTGCCAAAAGGCCTGGATAGTATTAGCTTTGAACAGAGACAGTTGACAGCTCCCAACTGATCAAAGGTAGCAAAAAATAATCTGTGAAAAAGTTGTAGTCTGTCAACATGGAAATGAGAGCAAATGCCAATTTTGTTTGCAGATGTTGAGCTACCAGGAGTGTTCATTCACTTCTGTCTGGTACTCACCTTCTTACTGCTCTGAGCTCCCAAAAATACTGCAACACATCCAGGCCAGGGAAGTAGGAGGTGGATCTCAATAAAACTATAAAACCACGTGTACCGAGACTGCCCTGGGAATCAGTGCTTCTGTGGGCATTCCCAGACACTTTATTGTAAGCAGTACACAGAAGCAATTCTTGACATGGGATTCATGTGACTGCATCTCAAGTCTCTATGATTTTGTTGACACTTTGATCACATCTCTCCAACAAGTTCATGTCCAAAATTAGGCTGGAAAAAATGCTGCTATAATTATTTAGAGGAAACAGGAAGACAAGAACATCTTCCACTACCAGCTACTATGCCCACAAAGATAACAAAAGCTTTGGCAGAAGGTAACACCGGGCATGTTCTCGCACTCTTCACTTTGAACCTCTTCCAGGAACCAATGGTGAGAAATGAGCACTATGGTGTAAGACTGAGGGGAACATTCTAGCAAAAACACACCACGCGTTACACTGGTCGAAAAGCTGTGCACTAGGCGTAACAAAACCATTTGATCAATGCTCTTTAGACTGTTTTACAAGGACTTTCTCTCCCACCCAAGCCATTTTACATGTTTATTTACTACAGTGTAAATCGTACTTCATGGGGTTGAGATGACAAATGAATCCTGCCACAATTCTGCATGAAATCTAACATGTTTTCTTAGGCAAGACAGGAGTTGACAGAGCATCAAATGATTACGTTCCATCTATAACTTTCACTCTGTCAAGTCTTCTGTCCTCTGCACACCAATTATAACAAATACAGCTGACTGCATATAGCCAGAGGAAAAAAAAAAGGCAGTTCTGTAACGTATGTAAAAGATTCAGATTTTTTTTAATCTTTTTAATGTTTATACTGTTCTCTGGTTTGAAGACAATAAAAACCTGAGAAGGAATATACCTTTAAAAATCAACACTGAAAAGTAAGCAAGCATATTCAGGTCTGAGTATCATCCTCTTACTGTGGGAGCTGAAGAGAGAAGGTGGTGTCAGTAAGCCTGACTGGGTAAAATATCTTACAATAGAAGCATTCCTGTGTTCATGAGAAGTAGTAGTGATTTATCCTCCCACAGGTATTAACACCTCAAGCAACACAACAAGCTTACTGTTTGCCAGAGAGAAATAGCCAAAACCCACACACTCCCCTCTGCATTTTTTTGAAGGGCTTTCCTCTGACACTATGAAGAAAGAGAATTGTTTAAAGATTACACTTCCAGGAAAGTTTTTTGAGGTTGTTTTGTTAGCACATCTTTCACAAAGAACATGCGTTTCTTATTCAGCTGTTAGTGCTAAAAGTAAGTTTGTGTATTATTTTTTGTTTATAATTAGGCTGTAGAGACATCATCATCAATATTACAAATTCACAATCATTATCCATTTCATACTATATTTTTACTAATGGATGGATGGGATTATTTCCTTCACTCTGCCATCTTCCATCTGAAACTGACAGGCTGAACACTTGCATGAAGCCACTGGATACCTTTTTTCTTAATAATGATTAATTATACCCCAGACCATCCATCACTGGTCTCAGCATTTGTCTGAGCTTGAAATATGCATTTAAAGATCCACCCTGGTTTCTCATGTTCTCACCATTACCTAATTCCAAATGTGAAGATCATAAGAAAGGTAATTTCTATATGAAGAGGTGAAAATGCAGTGGGCAGCACATCACTGCCATGACATGACCAGCAGAGGGAAAAAAGCTCCACTGCAACCTCTGACAAACCAGAAGTCCCAGTGCAAGCATAGCCAACCACCTCTACAGATTAAGGGATGGGGATACAGGCAGATACTAAGATTGCGGTCATTTCAACTAGTCAGTGATCTTTCTTTGTGCCAGGTGCTGTATTTTCTATTTAGTTGGTTCTCTGAGATCCACAATCCTGGATCCATGTTTATGTTTCACTTTATGCAGTTAGTGCAGATTATTACAGATTTGTAAAACATGGAAGATAGGAAAGGAATTCTCAAAAAGTCATGCAGCTTTACAATTTCAGTCACAAAAATACAATCACTTTTCTAGGAGTCTAGTATGGGGATATTGACCTCAGGAGTCCTGTTACATAGATAAAGTGTATTTCATCCAGTAAGTTACCACTATGAAATGGGTAAGAGATACACTTAAAAACTGAACGTACATTTATCCAAAAAGACACACAGGCTAAGGCATAATTTGCTTCAAAATATATATTGGATCATTTAATTATATTATATTTTGCAGTATGTATAGAATTTTTTTTTAATTCAAAACTGCTCCAGTCCTATTTCAAAATAAAATTCCTGGTGACTAGAACATGTCAAAATAGGGACAGAGACATGGGAAAAAAAATCATATATTCAATAGGGTCATGTTAGCAGATTAGAGACCAAGGTATTAGTGTAAAGTTGTCCATCCCAGTGTTACCACAAAGAGAGCAAGGGCACCACCTGCTGTTTTAGAAATGTATTTATTTGGAACATGACAGCGACTCTTCAAGTACTGCACTCAAAAATTTTCTCCTGAAATTGAAGTTTCTGCAAGACGATTTGAATAACTGATGAGTTCGCCGTTGCCTCCTGACACAAACGGTATTGTAGCCACAACGCCGGCCATAAATGCCTGAATACAGGGCACTTAAGAGGTTTTTGAAAGCAAGGCAGTGTTTCACACGGGCTCTTCCTCACCCAGGGCATCAAAACCTAGAGTTCATTTCAGGAGATCTGACTGATATTCAATAAGCACCAAAAGGTTTAATGACTGATTTAAGAAGAAATAGCATCTTAAGCATGAGAATGCTTTATGTCATTATATAAGCTGGAGCTTATGGAATAAATAATTACTGTTAGATAAAGAAGACATCAAACTACAGTTCAAGCAGTTTCCAAAAATTTTTAAAGGACTTTGTTTCCAAATGCTCCCAATTGAGAAGACAGGGGTTCATATACACCCAGCTGATTTAAACATACATGAAGGACTTTATAAACAAAACTGTCTGGCAGTTCTAAGACAATTTGACCATAGAAAATTAAATCCCTAGATGACCAGGAGATAAACTGTAGAGTGTGAGCAGCAGATTGGATGCTCTGGGTCAGTGAAGACTGAATTTTTGCACAGTTTTTCCAAGATGCCATAAGGAATCACCTTATAGTCTTCTTCTCTTCTTCTGGATATCAAGAGTCCCTTAGGAAACCCCTGCACGAGGCTGCTCAGGCATAATCAGACTGTTTTATTTTATAGACTAGCAAGGAACTTTCATGAGGACTGTCTTTTACAAATAAAATTATCAATTGTCAGAACTTCCATGAAAGTTAAGAATCATTGCTTAATGAAATGGCCAATTTCTATGCAGGAACCTTCAGGCATTTGGTCAGAGAATGTCCTGAAGGTTTTTAATTGAAAGCCAAGTTCAAAACAAATGCAGCAGCCATAGTGTCCTCACAAATTTTGGAAAACAACATGAAACTTTAGTAAATTATGTGCTATTGCCAAGGAAAATGATAGCATGGCCCATTTCCTCTTCAACCAGAGCCAAGATTCACCTTGCCCACTTACAAGCAAAGTTATATGAGATATTTTAATTTTTATTCTGTATAATTCAGTTCTGTTTGTGCATGAAAAATTCAAAGGGAAAGTGAAAAATGTGCATAATTTGATTGATTCCCATGAGCTGAGATGAAGTTAGCAGATTTTTATAATGTGCTCCTATCAAATACATTTCAGTGATAAGTTTCTCATGGTTCATCTATCAGTTTCAGTTCTTACAAGATTACAACAGAGGTGTCAGTACAGTGCCCTATTTCCCCCTTCAGAAGATGCTTTGTACATCTGCAAGATGTGCAAAACAAAAATCATCTAGGATTGCATCAAGCTTGTGCATTTATTGGTGACTTATTAAAAATTAATTCATTGCTGTAAATGAATGCTAATAACAAATTAGTAAAAACATCTCCCTTTCTTCTGTTTTTTTTTACACAAATAGTTTTATTACAAACTTGAATTTTTAAGAAATACACATGTAAGAAATTACACAAAGGCCTTGGCATTTGCAAAAATCTTTTGGTATTTTCATGGTAATAGTCCATAAAACATTTTTGGACACAGACGTGCTCAAACAATGGTATCATTGCATAGAAATTCTTTAGAAATATTTCTGAGGCCATTTTGAAGAAATTTTTGGCACAATATTAACAAAATTAAGGCCTTATACTTTTCAAAATCAAGTCATTCAGTGTGTGAGTAGTGTTTAAAACCCTGAAAAATATTAAATACAGAATAAAGACTATAAGCTCAAAGCAGGATTTACTATTATAAACACAAATAACTATTAACCTGGGTTCAGTCTCTGCAACTTCAGCATTGAAATGGCTATGTAAAATGAACATTTCACATCATATTTTGGCATTTAACACCTAATTCATGACACTGAAAAGAAGAAAATTTTGTAAGCTTCTTTTTGAAATTATAAACTCAGAGCTTGATTTGCCTAATGGTTGATATCTATATAAATTACTAAAATATTTATATATATATTTTTCTTGACCATTGCTGGATCATTCTTTATTCCACAGGAAAGTTTGTTCTACTGCACAAAGAAGCTGCATAGTACCAACATAGCAGAAACACTTACTTGCCTATTTGTGAAGCCAATTTGGCAATCTCTTCCAGATCTAGACCCATTAATACTGACAATGCTAAAGGCTACAAACAGAAGCAAAGGTTTGCAGGATGCCACTCTATGTTGTGAAAAGATGGTTACATGTTGCTTAACCACAGTCTGTAATCCCAAACCTCTTTTTTACATTAGTATTTCTTTGTACAAGAACAATAAGTACATACCTAAGAGTCTGGGATTTTAAGACACCTAGATAATGGTAACAAACTTATCTGGGGAAGAAAAATGAATCTAAATATATAATACAAGAACTAGAAAAGGGGGGTCAAACAGTATAAGGCAGAACTGCATACCTCCTAGCACCTTTGCATTTTTTTTCTGGATAAATGCTGACTTTTTATTCTATCAGTGCATTGCATTTATATAAAAAATACATATACTTTGATCAAAAGTGCCATTTGGCATGTCAACATTTGAAGCTTATCTTTGTTGTCTCTTTTCTTCTTTAGCAAGGACAGGGCCAGTAAAGCAGTGTGTGTTAGTTATGCAAGTTCCTAAAAGGCACTTTACTGTTTTCATACTGGACAACAATGAGGTACATATGATATATGTCTAGGCTTCATTGCTGTTAAACGAATAGCACCATATTGTGTGAAATTAGTTGAAATTCAAAAGTCATTATGTTTTTCTCATACAGACTTGACAACGGCTAACATTTGAGCGTAGATCCCCGGCTTTCAAAGTTGACGGAGTTGGTTTCCTATTGAAAAGAAAGAAATTAAAAGGCCCATTAACAATTTTCAGGTTTATGATTGACAACACCAACTTTGAATTCAAGTCTCTCTTCCAGCCTCTGCTGAATCAAAAAGGTGTTCCTAAGTTCTCCAGTGTGTAATCACTTCCAAGTTTGGTCACAAACTATCCTAAGATTAGTTTTAAACATTGCACACTTACAATTACTGAAGAATTCAGTTCTTTCACAAGGCATAACATGTCCTTAACCTAGAACACCATCTGTTAAAGAAGGATCCTTAAACCATCTTCTAAAACCATCTAGAATTTGGGTAATAAAATAAAATTGGGCAAAGCAGCTAAATTCTGTTTATGAGTTTCTGCTAACTCTTGTGACTTTAAAGACAAATGAAAAGCTGGCAAAGGAAATTATGTGATGTCATACAGAAACAAAAACCAAAGCCTTTAGTCTCTAACCTGTCATAAGGAATTACTCCTAGCAACTAGAAATAAATAATTTTCAGACAAAAGTGTGCTTGCATTTAATGGTTTCATTAAAAAAGATTATGAGTTTACAGGAAATTGAGGAGTATTTGTGATTTATGATAGAAGGGCAGGTCCCCTGATCTGGGTTTATTTTATTAATTTGAGGCACAGTTTGTAGCCAGAAAAGGATGTGAAGCGGAGAGGTCTCTGGGTAGGACTCGAGAAATGGAAACAACTGTAGTGCTCAGTCTCAATTTTTTTTCTGACCAGCTTTCCTCTTTCCTAGGGATCCAGGGTTTACCCCAGTGGTGGAGTGGTTTTGGTGGTAGCTTTTCTGGTTGATGAGATTATCACAGCCCCAGTGATCAAGTCCCAGTGCTCAATATTTCTGCCTACTCCAATGACAACTATCTGATAAACAAACAGGGAAAACTGGCTAAACAACCTGCTTTGTTCTGAGATAGGCAAGGCAGCATTCACAGATCTAGAAGACATGAAGAGATGAAGGGTAACAGCAGCAGCAGTCAGGACTATGGTGGAAGAGGGTGATTGCTTGCACTCCAGAGGAATGTCTGCTGACCAGCTAAGCTATGCAGACATGGGAACTGATCTATGTGCTAGCATATTAATAACATTCATATAGAGCAAATTAGTCTGTGTTGACAAATACTTATGTGCAGGAAAGCAGAACAAAGCCTATTACCACCAGCTGCATTTTACTCAAATGTACTTCCTCTAACATCAGGGAACGGTAAATAATTGTTCAACTCACCTAGTTTAACACCTGTACCAATTGCAAGTGGTTCTATTATATGTTAACACCCATTAAGGGAAATGTTATATTCTAATCTAGTTTCAATCAGTATGTCAGCCTATCCCAGCTACCACTTGGTGAATACAACCTAAAATATAGTGGAATTGTGAACATTGTTAGATTATTCTGAAAATAAAAATACATGGTACAAATGACATATGGCAAACACTAACTGATGATACATTTACTAATTCCCCTAGAAGCTACTATTATTTTTTTCTTTCTGTTACGAAAATAGTTAACTACATAAATTAACTGAGCTGGTGGACAGCCAATACTTGAACCTGTATTACATTCAAAAAAATACTTATTTTATTCAGTGATAAAGCTCAACTGAGTCTCAAAGAGTGATAAATAAATCATGAACTTACTTGAACATCTCATTCCTTTCTATAGTGGCAAGCCAGAAGCTGTAAGCATTTGCATAATAATTGCAGGTGCCCCGGCCATGGCACTCAATGAAGGGAGCGCTGCGGAACTCCTCTAGGCAGGAACCAGGGGACGCCAGGGCCTGGCCAGAGCCCTCCGCACCAGCGCTGGTGTGCTAGGAAAATGCAAAAGCATTGGTCAGAGAGGAACTCTTTACCTCTTCTGCTACATCTTCAATGAACTCTCGCACAAATATTTTGTCGCACTTCTCTCCGTGTCCTCTATTCTGTCCATCTGCTGTTCTATTGCTCAGCGCAAGGAGGAACAAGAAGGTGGAGCTGAAAGCTCCAGAGATGGCATTGGGTTCTCACACTCAACAGCAGCATGACACATCAACAATATCAGCTTCAGGGGCAGCTGTATGCACAGAAGTCCTTCAGGACAGACAGCAGGACCCATCTCTAGGTAAGCAATATGCCAGGGCTAGCTCTTGGTCCAGAAGGCATAAGGTCTGGTATGGCTTTCATCTGAATAGAGTAACTCCATTCACACCCCACACTACAGTGGCTTCTCTCCCACTGCCAAGTGCTAACAGCTCAGGACCCACACTGTGTGTCAGACCATGCCCAAGCCCTGCCTGGGAAAATGATCAGATTCTTTTTGAAGTCACTACAAAGGATGGAGGTCTAATGCCCTCCTAAAACATGAAGTGACAGAGTCATTTATTAACTTTCTGTAGATCAAAACCCTGAAACAAATGCTTTCCTCAGCTCAGAGTATGTGCCAGTGCACTTACCATGACAAAGGAGTAACCAATCCAAAGTGAACTCCAGCCCTCAGGACACGGTGGTATTTGAATTGTTTGACTGTGAACAGCTATTACCATAGCAGGAGCTTCACATACAGAGCATCTAGAAGGACCAAGACATGAATGAGCTGCATGCACTTAAGGATTAATACTTCTTTATTCAGAAGCTATTTTCTTTATGGAATCTTGAAATAGAAACTGTTGTCACATCCAAAACCAATGGAAAATCACAATGTTTCATTTAGGAAAACAGCCAACTGGTTCTTTTTTTTTTTTTTTTTTGTTAATTTCTAATTTACTTTGTAAACTTCTGATTTCTTCCTTACTTAGTTCAACTATTAAATGTACTCCTATTAGCTTTCCTATGAGAAAAGAACAAGAGACCACTTATCTGAATATTTACATGTATTTTTCTTTTTCTAGTTCTGTTTGTACTGAAGTTTCTACAAGTGCTCAATGTCATGAACATGGGAGGCAAATAGCCAAACATGGTAACTCAGCAAGTATCACTTACAAGTGGTCTACTGTGATCAGAAACAAGTAACAGCAATTCATCATCCTAAACTTAGCTCTGACTTCCAGAGAAAAAGCCATCTCTCTGGAAAATGTCTTACAAACATAATCACTGCTAATCTAATCTAATGCAGACTCTTTCTCATGCATTTTCCTTGAAAGTGTTTTTTATTTACATTTGTGGTCTGTGTCTCCAGTAGAGATTTCTAGCAAAGTAACTTGCAAAACAAACTTCAAAGCAATTCTCCAGAAAGGCATGCAGCACCAGTTCTTTTACTTTAGACAAATTCCTCATGTCTCAGAACTGCTAGGTTACTGAATAATCCAATGACCAATCATGCCTTCACAGAAGAATCATAAAAAAGCCATGAGGTGGGCTGGAATTTTAATATGGGGGCTGGTAATAAGGAATTCATTAGATACAATCCGTTTTTTCTTGTACAACTCTTCAACTGGCTGCTGCAGTTAGCAATTATGAAAATGCTTCAAAACTAAACTGTCTGATTCCTGTTATCAGGACAGGGAAAAGAATCAAGTGCAAAATGGATTAAGCTGGATTCTGGAAAACACAGAGAAGCAAAGGTATTCAGAATGAAAGCCTTCTATTTCTGCCTTGTGAAGACTGCTTTCATACCTACTGCCTTCATCTTTAGTGCAGAAGCCAGAGTTATTTTAAGAAACACATCAATGAAAGAGTAAGTTAAAAGAAGGAATGTAAAGCTGCCTCTATTCTTAGAGCTCTGCTTTGCTTCAAGAGATTTCTGGTATTTCAGTAGAAGGCCTTACAGGAAAAGAAGTCCTATGATTCAAGGTAGCAGTGACACTTCTATGCATTTTCAACATTTGGACAGGGAAAACTGTTGGTTAAAAAGCATTAACTAATAAAACAAATTAAAAGAAGTGTCTTCCAGATTCTTTGCTAATTTCCTAAAAGGAGTATTACAACTATTTCACTCATTGCTATGACTAAAAAGAGAAAAACACATAAGCATACATGCACACATACACATATGTACATACATATACACACTTACGCATTTTTATGGTGCAAAAGCTAATCCGTAGGCATAAGGTAAGGCAAAGTGTTGGTTAGTACCTCCTTTGGCAAGAGTTTCAAACATGACTGTTAAAGGCTCTTTTGGATGCATGATATGGGAGGGCATAAAAGGAATATGAATTTCAGAGGCTGACAATTTGAATTTTTCTGAAAGCCAAGCCCCTTCCATTCACATGCAACAAACAAACAAAAATTTAAGACTAACAAAAGCTATAGTCTCTCTTGACAATTTTGTCCTCAATCTGCCCATTCATTTTCAAAATATACCAACTTCTTTGGTACTCAGCCAAAAGAAAGAATACAGAGTACAACTGCAGTACAAGATGCAGATACAAGATGCATTCCACTTTGCAAAATAAACATCAAATGTTTTGCAGTAGAACCATATAGTTTTTTGAACATCCAAGATGTCTAGAATACAATCTACTGATGATTTGGATTGTCCTTTCTCTTGGATGTGCCTGAGAAATCATTACCAGCAATCTCCACTCCCGTTCATTAAATATGGCCAGAAGAGGGATCAGCAAGAGCTGATACAGATTAGAAGCAATGACAGAAAGGACAGTAATGCCCATATCTAATGATTATCACTTAAGCTGTAAGTCAGATTCCCTTATCAGACTCATATCTAACGGTGGGGCAGTTTGCCACACTTGCTCACAACTCTGCCTTCAGCACTGTACATGTTATGACAGGAGAGGTTTTCTAGTGGTCTTAAAATTTCAAATGGACCAAAAGTTCAACATGTTGCATTGATGCAGAACAGTTATATCTCTGATATAGGCACCATTCTTTATACCAGCTTCAAATCTGGAATTACTAAAAAAACCAGATGATTGATTTTGCAATTGTTTCCTTTAATTCAGACAATAATGGTTGTATTCAAGCAGAATGTCTAAAACAATGGAAGAAGCCTGTCAGCCTACTGTATGATAAAAATCCTACCATTTTCAAACAAAAGGAAACTGAGCCCTAAAAAGCTTCTAGCTATGGCTAGGCAAAAAACCAGAAGTGTTTCGGACGAGAATTGAGAAAAACTGCACAACTTTTTCTCCTTTAAAGTAGATCACAGCTTTTGCAAGATAGCATTTCAAAGTAAATCTTTTCATTTCAATTATATTCAAAATAGGCTATTCTATTTGTTTGGGTTTCCCCCAAAATGGATTTATTTTTGATCAAAGTCTAAACTGAAAACATGTACACTTTGAAATATTTCATCAAAAGAATTCAAACTTTAAATTTAAAGGCAGGAAATACAAATATAAAGATTAAAAGCCTTGCCCAGAAAAATAAAGTACCCTATGCTCTTTCCACAGGCTTTTTTTGCTTTACAAATACAGTAGAACTGAAACCATACCTGCTGATGAATGGTCTGATATTATCACCAGTGATAGGAGCCATGTTCATTGGCATGGGTTCAGGAGTTGACAGCCAGTAGGAGTAGTCATTCCTTGATGCAAAATTACAGACGTTGTTGATATTGCAGAATAAGAAAGGCATGGTACTAAATTTACGAAGACAGCTTCCTGCTGTGCCTGAAATGTTAAGTGAAAGGTTACTTCTTAACATGGTTTTGTTAAACCACTGCCAACTGCCTAACGATTATTTCCAGGAGCAGCTAAAAAGAGAGAGAACTCTTGCTCTGGAGGGCCCAGTTTTCTCAGAGGAAGTGAATTCTCTTAGCTTTATGAGGAAGGAATGGGACAAGGAAAGGAGTAGTCCAGTCTTGCCTGTAGAATTACAGAATACATTAGGTTGGAATAGACCTCTAGAGGTCATCTATCCTACTGCCCTGCCAGCTAGACCTGGTTTCTTGGCTCCAGATTTAGTTGAGTTTTGAGGACCTCCAAAGGCAAGAAATTCAACCATCTCTCTGGGGTTCTGTTTCAATGGCTGACCATCAGTATGATAAAAAAGCTTTTATTTATGTTTCACTGAAATGTATCTCATACTTGTGGTCCATTGCTTCTTCTGTCACCGAGACCCTCTGAGAAGGAATTCCATACTCTCTACCCTCCCTGTAGACAGTTGTAGAGTGCAATAAAGGCCTCCCCATAAAAAATCTGTTAAGGCAGAGCACACCCAGTTCCATCAGACTGTCCAAGCCCCACAAGCCATCTTAGTAACTAAGGGTTGTATTCACTGTGGTACAGCAACATCTTCCTTGTTCTGGGATGCCTAGGTCTGAGCCAGAGCAACAATACAGATTTGCTCAATACAAATTTCTACAAATACAAAGTTCTCAATACAAAGTTCTACAAATGAGAGAAACATTTGGTTTGCCATGGATTCTAATTTGGTCTCTACTTACCCAGATCTTGGCCATGCGCTCTTTCATTGCCTTGTACATAAAGCAAGGAGTAGCCGTGGTAAATCAGCCTTGTCCCAAATGGACACGATGGTTCTTCGATGGTTTGACTGTGTCTGGTGACAAGGAAGCCATGAGCAACAGATGGTGCCCCTGGGGGGCCCATAGCCCCGGGCAAGCCATCAGGGCCAGGTGGACCCGGGAATCCTCTGGGCCCTACAACACAGAGAGGCTCCTTTTATTTCTGCAGACAGCAGTACTCTCCTTACACAACTAGAGAAGTGTAATTAGATACATTCACACCCAATACCATGTGTTATTTTTCTGTGAAGGAATCAAGTCTTTGAAGAATGCAGGGACTTACCTGGGGGACCAAAAGGACCAGCTTCTCCTTTCTGCCCAGGTTGACCATCAAAGCCGGGACTACCAGGTGGTCCAGGTACACCTGAAGGTCCTGTCACCCCTGTTGAAAAACAAGGAATAATTATTAATGGATATTATTTCATGTTAGTTTTGACTTTTTGGCTTTTAATACAGGACAGCACAGGTATGCGGCAGCATAAACTAAACTTATTCAGATTCAGTGCATACAGTTCCATATCTAGAGCACATATGAGGGTTACTCCAGGCAAAGTGATCCTATTGTAGAGAACAGAGAAGTAAGGAGAGAGCATGCATCTAAAATAAATAGCATTTGCCAGGAATATGAAAAGGAATCTCCTCTCTCTGCTTATCATATGAGTCAATCAAAAATAGATCATAAAAAAGTATGGTGATGAACAATGGGAAGATGGCAATCCTCTTAGCTTCTTCCCAAACAAGTTTGCAGATATATGTAATGTCTTCCCTTTAGCAATTTTTAGGGATGCTATGAATCCTACATAAACTCAGCAAATCTGACTTCAGGAAAAGGAAGTCAACTGTTTTAAACCATCAGCATTATAGCAACATTTCAGTAACTCATCAGAAGCTTTAGATGCTCACAGTTTTCATTTTCCTGATCACCCAAAGAGTAATATTGTGTTTATGTACTGAACTGACTACTAGTGATGGAACAATGGATCCTGTATAAGCAAACCCATGCTGTGTTCAGTCACTGAGATTATTTCACAGTCATTTCCTAAAGGATAGCAGTCGCAGAATTGTATCCCCACCTTCAAGGGAAAACTTTCATATCTACTATATTAACAAGGAAGAAGATATTCATTATCCTCCACTGTAATTCCCCATCAACTTAACATAAATCATTCAGGAAAAAAGCTTTCCCTTAGAATCTTAGAACTCCTGAGTTTCCACTCTCCATGTCCCATCATTCTGAAGGACATGTCCTTGTGCCAGCATTTCATTTGTCCTACCTTTTCCTCCATTCTCTTACTTTCTAGCATGTTTCATTTTTGCAGTTCACCTACTCTTTATAAAAATTGCAATATCTGGACTAAAAGAAGAAATCTAGGACCATGGAACAAGCTCCCATTTTGGGGAAAGGATGAGCAGAGTGTTGCAAGTCATTCTGCTTACTGCTGATCTCAGATACCGATGTGATTGCAGAGTGAGAGCCTGTAAAATAATCACCAGGAAGGCATCTGTTTTGGATGAGCTTCAAAAAGGACTCTCCTCCTCATCATTGACACAAGTGGCTTACAAAAACTGGATAATATTATACCAAAAATCTTGTATTATCTAGCCTAACTTTGGTCTATTTTTACATTACTTGAAACGTATTTCTACTGGCAAATTAGAAACTCTCACCTTGTTGTCCTTTGGGACCAGGAAGTCCTGGGAATCCCTTGAGACCAACTGGTCCTACAGGTCCAGGTAAGCCAGGATCCCCTTTAATAAGCTGGAAAGGACCTGGTGGGCCTGGTGGGCCTTGTAAACCTGCGGAAATCAACCAAGAAAATCAGCGCGTATTTAGTATTGCACAATGTTTTAAAAAGCAAAAAAACATTACCATGTACTGCCATTTATGCAGAGACTGGAGCCTCTCACAGGGAGTCACAAGATATCAACATGTCCTAGACTTTACACATGAATTAAAACTGCAAAGCTTCCCAAACAGAAGCCTATCTATGCTGATACCTCCAGCCAGACTTCTCATGGACTGAAATAACTGTCCAGACCTTTGGTTGTATGGAGTTGTCTCAGCAAGTTAGCAAACAGCCCCAAGCTGAGTGGTGTAGTCAATATGCTGGAAAGAAGGGATGCCATCCAACAGCACCTTGACATGTGTGACAAGTGAGCCAAGAGGAACCTCATGAAGCTCAACAAGTGCACGGTCAAGTGCAAGGTCTTAAACATGGGACAGACCAATCCACAATATCTATACAGACTGGAGGATGAATGGATTGAAAGCAGCCCTGCAGAGAAGAACTTGGGGAACACAGGTAGATGGAAAATGGGATGAGTTGGCAGAAAAGCTGGCAGAATGAGCCCAGAAAGCCAATACAGGGCTACATGAAAAGAAGTGTGAGCAGTAATGTTACCCCCTTGTTCTGTTCTCCTACCCTCCTGGAATATTATATGCAGTTCTGGGGTCCCCTATACAAGGACATGTACCTGTTAGAGCAGGTCCAGAGCAGGGCCATGGAAATGATCAGAGGGGTGGAAGAGATCTTCTATGAAGACAGGCTGAGAGAGTTGGGCTTGTTCAGCCTGGAGAAGAGAAGGCCCAGGGAAGACCCCACTGAGGCCTTTCAATATATAAAAGGGGCTTATGAGAGAGATTTTTTTACCTCTCTGGAGTCTGGATCTGGAGTGACAGGACAAGGGGCAACAGCATGAAAGAAATAAGTGCTTACAGAAAGCCTGTAAATTTAGATTGGACTTAAGAAGGACAATTTCTTATTGTGAGGGTGTGAGACACTGAACAGAGGTTTCCCAGAGAAGCTACAGAAGTTCAACCCCTGGAAGTATTCAATGCCAGGTTGAAACTAGATGATTTTTAAGATCCCTTCAAACCCAAACCATTCTATGATTCTAATCTGACCATTCAGATGCTGATACATGATATCTGGTTTCATATTCTGCATTTTAGAACAGAACAGAACAAAAGGGTGATGGAGTTATAGCCACAAATTAATCACAAATAACAATTTCACCAAAAACATCTGGGAAAAAAAGCACAAGTCTTTATTATACCTATAGATCCAGGAAGACCTTGGTCACCTCGCTCACCCTTAAGGCCTGGGAAGCCAGGAGTTCCTTTTGGACCTGAAGTCAAAGGAAATATTTGCATGACAATTCAGTAATTTCTTGATTTGTAAGGATATGTGTGGAATAATCATGTATGACCCTATGATCCTGAAAAGGACGTGACTTTATTTGCACAAGCACTTTTTAACTGTTTGCAGGAACATGATACAAACACCACTAAGTCACAAAAGAAATGATGTCTGAAAATAAATTTCTCTTATTTTTTCTCTTCTCTTCAAAGTTCTCTTACTTTAAAAATATCATTCTCTAGATTAAAAGCATTATGTTTTTCTATTAATGACTGTATTTTTTTATACAGCTGGTGTTTTCATGTACATGATGGTGACAGTAGCAGGAATATAATCAACAAGGGACACATACAGAGCCCATTTCCTCACATATAGCTATAATATTGCCTCTTTAATTCTCAAAAAAATCTTGGAAGATTCTTGACTGGTAGTATCTAACAATCTATTTTTTGTCCAACTTTTAAAGGAAATGCACATTTAATATTTGCAATGCAAGAACAGGCAAGAGACAAAAAAATCTCAAAAATCTCAACATTTTTGTATGTTTTTTGATGCAGCTTTCAGTGTTCTGTTCAGTAATAATAAACCTAGATTCAATGTTCTTCGGACATCTCTTTTGAGAGAGGAAGAATATGAAAGAGACATTTTTGCATACTTTTCAGGAGTATGTTAAGTTTTCTCCTCACCTGGAACACCTGGAACTCCTGGAGGTCCAAGATCACCCTTTGGACCGATATCTCCTGGCAAACCAGGACTACCCTGCATAAAAGAAAATGTGAAATATAGTTATCCTACACTATTATGATAATACTCTCAAACAGGCTGTGTATTTCTGGAAACCTATGAAAAAAATATAATATGAGAAAGCCATTAAGTTTAGGAAAAGGTCATTCTCTCCCTTGGTTAGATGGGAAGCTTCTCCTACAGGAACATGAGTGACACTTTGCTCTTTCTAAACTACTTATTGTCTCACAAAAATACCAAATCAGAATGAGGTCCTTCTAGCACTGCAGCCAGTAAAAAGGTTCTCAACCATAGACCATATTATTATGAAAAACATCAGTAAACACATATCTCAGCAGATACTAATTGCAGTGCAGTCTTAGCAGGAGGTTGCTAGTTAGATAAGTAAATAGGGTAATTCTAGACCACAGCAGGCTTGAAAACTTCTACATTCACACAAGGGATGAAATTAAATATGCTCAACAATTTATAATTCTCTGAAGATTTTTACTTTTCAACAGGCCTAAAACACTCAAGGACTTAAAACACTTCAAACACAATGGGAACTCCTCCTTCTGCCTTCACCCTTCTAAACTGTAGCCCTGAAATCAATGGTAACAAATTCACTGTAGCCTCTCTTCAAGGAAAACCAAGACTCTATTTCAAAAGACACTGTAAACAGTCATTCAAACAGCTGCCAATTTCCTTTCTTTCTTGTGTCTGCTGCAGATCATCTGCAAAAAGCTTGTAAGTATAGTTTAGAGTTTCTCCCTGGCTGATTTGGTACGGCAGTAATAGTTCACTGTATAATAAAACATGGAATACAGGTGGAGGAAAGAAATAAAATCCCTTTCCTAAGTAACCTACCAACCAGAAGCAGGAGACGTGAACTGAATTCCCAGTGAAAAATAGTACCAACAGTAGGAGTCATATTTGCAGAGCAATAGAGTAGGCACAAAGGAGTGATTTTTCTTTCAGTGCAAGTTAGATGTTTCTATTGAGAAGAACCACAAATTTCCAATTCTTTCCACTGATTGTAAAGGGAGAAGAGATGACCAGTTCAAAAATGGATGCACACAGTTAAAACTTCCAGAGACTCCAAACCTAAACAAAAGAAATTCTACCTTCAAGAGTGCTAAGGGAGGCATAAATGTAGTAAGATTTCCAGGTTTCCTTCAGTCACATGGTCACAGTATGGAGGATTGTTTAAAGAAATGGCTGTCTCTTTGTATCATAATATGCAAACTTCTGAAGCCCAAAGCAGGAGGGCTGACTTTCATTCAGAAGGCACTTATGAGTCAGTCACATTAAAAGAGGGGAGTTTTAAATATATGTATTTTTGGGTTATAATTATAAAAAAGATTTATAAGAGTTTATTGGAAGCTTTCCATCAAAATACATTTGCCCCAACAGTATGCATTTCTTAAGCTTTTTTTTCTTATCAGATACAGCTTGGTAAACAACTTCTTTTTTGGATCTGTTCCAAAGAGAACAAAACTATTTCAGGTAAATGTTTCTTCTCTCATTTCAGCATTCAAATGAACAGGAAAAAACCCATGAGATTTGTATTTCACAGTCTGATCTCTGCATTTACTTTTTTTGGATACAATTTTTGGACAGGTTGTGTCATTCATGTTGCAACAAAATCTTCCTTTTGATATAGGTAACCATGTACCTGGAGACCTGTATGACCAACTGAGCCATAATCAGGGCAGGAGCCTGTCACATTGGGGAAGATGAAGACATTAGAAACTCCTCTCAGTATGCATCACCAGAGGAAGCTTAGTATTTAATACCACTCTCACTGCAGCATTTCACACCGAGTTAACCCGCCACTATGAATTATGGCTCAAGGACAGTGAAACATTTTTTTCTGATTGAAGGCATGGAATCAAAATCCTTAGGCATTTCCCATTCTTTCTCAGCAAACAGTCTCAGAGTGGTAATTCTACCAGTATATCAACCAGTATATCAACCAGTGAAAAGCTTTACAATTGCCTGGGGTATAGAAATTAAGCTCTCTGAAGAAGTAGTGCAAATTACTAAACTAGGGAAAATATACTGGAGTGTTATGTTGGAATTTACTACCTTCAAAGATGGTATAGTATGGTAGAATATGGTATCTAATATAAAAAGGTCTGAACATGGAAGCAAATCCTTAATGTCTATGTGTGACTAAGTGACTATGTCTAAGTGACTCCTGGATGCAGAGAAAGATGCACTAGTTCTTTGCATTATCAAGAATAAAGTATACCTTTAAAGTCCTGCATTTCACATCAGGACCTTATTCCTGAGTCTTTCTTCCTTCTGTACACTAGGAATTTTACCATCCTTTTTTCTCATGAATATTATTTTTATTGTTCTTTTTTTTAATAGACTCATTAAGATTGGAAAGTACCTCTAAGATTATCAAATCCAACCATTAACTGAGCACCACCATGTTCACCACTAAACCGAACACCTCAAGTGTTATATCCACACATTTTTTGAACACTTCCAGGGATGGTGACTCTACCACTTCCCTGGGCAGCTCATTCCAATGCCTGACCACCCTTTCAGTGAAGAAATTTTTCTTAATATCCAATCTAAAGCTCCCCTGGCATAACTTGAGGCCATTTCTTCTTGTCCTGTCACTTTTTACTTGGGAGACTGACCCCCATCTGGCTACAAGTTCCTTTCAGGGAATTGTTGAGAGTAATAAGGTCCCCTCTGAGCTTCCTTCTACTCTGGGCTAAATGATCTCATTCCTAGTGTAGTAGGAAAAAAGGAATGAAAAGTTAAAAAATAGAGCATATTTTTCAGTGTGGAAACAGGGATCATACTCTGAGAGAAAGAATATAGAAGACCAATTATTCAGGGTGACTGTCCTATTCTACTTCATTCTTGCTAGTATACTGAAAAGGAACTATTTTAGGACAGGGTAAATTAATAATATATGACAAAAATGTATTAATAGTATTATTGCCTGTTTGTAGTTCTAAATCAGCAGCAATATTTCATCACTGACAGTACTGAACTGCACTTTATTTGAGAGCTTTTATAACGAAAGCAAACAGTTCAGGTATTTTGAGAAGGCAATTTATTGTGAAATATGCAACCTTTAAAATTAACTACTAATGCATTTGCTGAATTTATGGATGTGCTTCAGCCATCCCATACTGTTAAAACACTGTAAATTATATTTTGGGTGTTGTATGTTACCACTCACTATCTATAAATTTCTAGTAAGTTCATTAGCTCACTGGGGCAGCCTTTCCAAGAAGAGCACTGAAATGCTTTCAAGCTGACTTTACATCATCAGCTCTGAGTCCAAAGGCACACTGAGCATAAAATATCATTATTTTGAACAAGAAACTGTATGATTAATATATCCATTAATTACAAGAACCAGCTTTCAGCAATTCTGGAGTGTGCTGAAAGGAACTTACTGGCAGTCCTTGGAAGCCTGGATCACCTTTCATTCCTGGACCCCCAGGAGCCCCTGGCCAGCCATTGCTCCCTTGCTCTCCTTTGGCCCCTTTCAGACCTGGAGGTCCTGGTGGCCCTGTTGGACCCGGTAAACCTAAAAAACAGAAGAAAAGAGTATTTAGTAGCAAAATTGGTTTACAGCAGGTATCTGATGGAGTACAAACAGGGTCTACAGATGGACAGAACCAAAATAATTGTTGTGACATTTCAAGAAAATAAGTAGAATCTGTTGCAGGGGGACTCCTCATCCAATCATCTCTCTGTGGCTGACTGAAAATAGAGGGGGCTTTCCACATGTGCAGAACAAGCAGATAGTTCATCCTCAGGCATAAACATACTAAAGATATTTTGTAGCTCTGTTCCACTCTCCTCTTTAGCCCCTAGCACAGCCCACTGCCTTGGAAAGGCCAAGCTGGGTCATTTTTAAATACATTAACCCTCCAGGACATAGGAAAATACAGCCTCAGATGCCTCAAAAATGTAAATAAAGTCCATAAGGAAACATGGAAATGGAGGCATCCTTCTCAACATTAAAAAGATTTCTGGACAAAGCCAACTGCTTGAGGACATAAAATCAGCCTGTTTTAGGACATACTGCCAAAACTGCCTGTGAACAAGGCTTTCTCTGATCTGGGAGAAGAGGATAAACAAAGACATGCAAAACTGATTGTATTATCAATTATAATTAATTAGGTGAGCCTCGATGAACAGCAATACTTTAGTACTAAAGATAAAGAATTACCTGGAAGACCAGGTTGGCCTTGGGGCCCTCTGTCTCCTTTAGGGCCTTCAATTGCACTTCCCGGTAGCCCAGGAAGACCTTGGCTCCCCTTAGGGCCTGGTGGACCTGCATATCCTGGCTCCCCTTTCAGGCCTGGGATCCCTGGACTTCCTGGGGATCCGGGAAAACCCACTTCACCTTTTGCACCTAAGATTTGAAACAACCACAGAACACGATTAGAGAGAAGATCACAATCACTGAAACCTTCTGCCTTATTATCCGCTCATAGTAAGCTTTATTCTTTTTGAAAACACTGACATTAACTTTATGCATTTCTATAAAAATGCAAAACTTCAGGAAAACTGTATTATTCTTCACATTATGATATAAAATATGAGGAAAGTAGTTTGACTGACATACCTTTTCTTATCTAAACTCATCAGTGGGCTATTTTAGTCACTCTTAGAATAGATTAACATTCAGCATCCCTCTACCACTCCTTACACAAAGTTTATAAAGCCCCCACTTACTTATAAGCCAACCCTTACTCCACAGCAATTATTATTGTCAGAGTCAAGTAATGGATGTTCTGCTTGACTAAGCACAAAAGGACTTGCTCCTGGAGAAAAATTGAATACTTTTTTACTAAGATCTAGATTTAGACTCATTGTACTTACTTTCAGGCTTGTACAAATAGTTAACGATTGCAATTCAATCTAATTTTAGACTGAGCAAAAGAATATAGAGTAACGGGTATAAGTACAACAATAAGAGCAACAAAATTTATAGAGAACACTATCCCTGGCACTCTGCCTGAGCGGAACAAGGTTTTTAAACCCTAGACTTGTTTCTTTGGAACTACAATACATTTAGAACACAAATTATGAAAGCAGAATATATATTTACTCTAAACCCAGATATTTTTAAAGGAGCTGAGCTGATAAAATGAGACATGGAGAAGGTGAGAGAAGTGTTCTCATAATCTAGTGCTCTACATGCCTACCGAGCTATGATTAGAAAATATGCTTTGGTTATTAAGTTCTCCAACATTAGGGCTTTTGCAGTAATTAATGACTGTTAATTAGTCTAAGATGGTAAATAAAAGATATTCCAAAATTCTCGTTTATCACTTTGGATTGTCCTGACAAGTTTCCTGTATTTAACAGAATGAATGGGTGAGGTAGGGCATTGATATTTAAAGCTATGTAAGTTCTTCAAAATCTGCTGTGTCATGTTCATTTCACGGATGGACTACTTGAATAGTCTGTGCTTTCCAGATGAAAATTGAAAATTCCCCCATTATACACAATTTCCTTTACCAACAGCAGGTTGATATTTCTTCACTATCTATTGCAACCTAGTGTCTAGGATATACTTATTTCATAAAATGGAGCATGGTGCATTACAGACACCTTGAACAATCACGGACTCAAGCCAATCAAACCATTCTCACAGCACAGTGCAGTCACACACTTTTTAGAGAACATAAAGGGATTTGAATTGTCATAGTCATGTGGCTGTTAAGTCCTGAGCCCAGGTAATAAAAATTTTCATAGAGATCTCATCAGGACTCTACTATCTTTTCCATCTCTGCACCATGCTCCTGTGCATAGCTTAGACATGCTCTATTGAGCTATAGTAAATAATTAAAAGTAAAGTAATAGCAATTAATACATCTGAGCTGCAAAACAGATTCAGGCAAAGAAATTACTACACTATCCTGGCCACAAAACCACTAACTATAGCTGTCTGATGCACAGAGCCTCACTAGATTTTGATTCTTGCAAAATTAGTAGGAAAACAGAAATAATTGGAGTCAAAAACACAGCACACAAATACAGGAGTTATTTATATTACCTTATCACACCACAGCTTGCAGTAAATTCCACACTATGAATAATTACCTATTTTAGGGTATATCTAACTCCAAGATGTTGACACTGTAACAGAAATCAGTATTTGAACCTCTCAGAGCTTCTGCCTACTCTGAGAAGGCAAAGGATGTAAAAGAATTAAATAGAAGATATGTCTGTATTACAGAATTATGGTTATAGCATGTTCAGAAGGAGGTTTAGAATTGTTTAAGTAAGTGTTTTACCTTTATCTCCCTTTGCACCTGGAAATCCTGGAAGTCCTCTACCTGGAAGACCTGCAGTACAGAGAGAGCAAAAAATGAGAAGTTGGGAAAGCACTTACATTTAACTTGTCATGAATAAAACTCTATTATGCAAATAGAAACTCCAAATAAATGGCTTATGCAAAAGTTCTTCAGGGCAGAGGCTGTTTTTGTTATGCACTGGTATTGTACTTAGCACAATAGGTCCTGTATGACTGAAAACTGTACCAGAAGAAAAGGCAAGGCTGCTCCACTATTTCACAGCTAAGCTGCGGGCTGAAATTAATTTCAAAACACAATTCTTTAAAGTATCACCAGCTCTTGTGAAAGAAATTCTTGCAAGATTACATTGATTAAACACAGTTGCTCATTTAAATGATCACATTGTGATGCTAGATGATCATAAAACATCAATACTGACTTTATTTTCTAAGGTTTCACCAAAGCTAGTACACACCTCTACCAGCTACTCTTGTGCAGCCTGTGTCTGTGCATTTTCATACTATAGGACCTGAAGATGACAGTCACAGTACCTTGTTCACCCTTTGCACCAGCAGCACCTGGAATCCCATCATAACCTGGTTCACCCTTCTGACCAATGGCACCAGCAGGACCCGGAACACCAGGTTCACCTGAAAAATCATTGACATTTTCATTTTACCTATGACTTTTTCTTTTTTTTTTTCTCTCAAGAAAATTTTTATTTTGCTCCCACGTGGACCAAACAGATATTCCATGATGACTGCAGTGTGGCTTTTCACTGAGTTTACTTCTGAATTAAATCAGTCTGAGACAGGGCTCAAGTATTAAAGACTTTGACACAGCTAATTATCATGAATCTTAGTGAGTTTAGAATGCAGGAACTCCAGCAAAGACTTGTGAACAGCACAGTCCATTGTTATGTAAGATGATGTGTCCTGCAGCCAAAAAACTGAGAAAAGAAGACTCCAAGATCAAAAATGTTAATAACAGCAATGGACTTACTCTACTCCATACTCTATTTTCTTACTAATAGCTGTGAAATGATACTAATGTGGTGATTCAAGTTTGGGCATAAAGATCAACTGAATTGTTTTTAAATTAACTTAGAAACAACAGAAGTAATGGCTGTAACAACAACCAGTCCTGTGGAAGGTGGTAAAATCTATTCTTCTAACGGTGAAAAAGAAATATGAGCCCCCCCCACTACACTGACCCAGATTTACCTAAGAAACTGCAATACCTTTTTTGCTTATGAAATGAAAAAATGCACTGTGAAATATCAGAGCCAAAATCAATGTAGAATGCTAAAGATTTGTTTTATCCACTGCCTGAAGATGAACAATATTTTACGTGTCCTTTGGTGGTTTATATTTCTTTACCTGGTTCTCCTTTTAAACCTGGAATCCCACTTAAGCCAGGAAGTCCTTTTTCACCCTTGTCTCCATGACGGCCAGGGCTTCCTAAAAAAACGAAGAAAAATGTGTTTCCATGGGGTGTATTTGATATAATTTTTACTTTACTTTTTCACTTCAGTTTCTGTTTTATAAAAGCATAAATACTTGCCTGGAAATCCTGCCATGCCTGGGGATCCTTTGGGACCTGGGGCACCCGGAATTCCAGGAATTCCTGCACTACCTTTTTCACCCTTGTCTCCAGATAAACCTGGACTGCCCGTTCTTCCTGGTTCTCCCTGGAAGAGGCAGCACACATGAAATGCAGACATTAATTCAGAAACAGTTTTTTTCTGTATGCAGTGGTAGATGTCACCCCTCTTATCCAACCGACTTTTAAAGAATTCCATTGTTTTTCCACTCCTACACAACGTAATTTAGGATTAAATTTGGTCCTAAATTCCACTCTCAGAATTTTTAACTAATCTAGCAATTGCTTAATACCTACCTATGAAAATTAGCAATTTTCTATGCATTTTTAGGCTGGTTATACAAAGTCTTTTCAAACTTAGCCTCTTAATTTACTTACTACACTTCATCATCTTAAAGTGAGTCTTTTTTTGAGTCCTCAGTAAGTTTGCTACCAGATTAGCAGGTATTATTTTTACCATTTTTACTTATAAATTCATGATAACTGTCATTGTACAGCTAAGAAAAGGAATATGAAACAAATGAGAGTCCTATTAGATACTATTAGAGTTTAAATTAAACTTTACAGACAGTATTAATATAGTTCACTTTTCAGCAGTATCTGAGCACTGTATAGTATCTTTGTTAAAGTACAGTAACATTATTTTAGTGTGATTATTTGCCCTGTTCGTAAAATTCCCTTTTCACATTATTGACTTACTATTTTTAAAAATTCTTCCCCTTCCCTACATTTCTAGCATTATGAATTAGCCTATTTTGAGCAGAGATAATAAAAAAGAACACTGGAGACATTGGTTCCATCAAACAGAATGCAGCTAAAAAACTGATACATATGCACATATTTCAAGTTTTTCATTAGGCAGTTAAATTAGCATAATAGAAAACATAACAAAACGGCTTAGAGGCCAACAGCATCTTTTCAAGTGCTCAGTAGAGATAACCAAATCCTTAGGGGTATAAATACCTTCTCACCAGGAGCCCCTGGAAAGCCAATTCCAGGAAAACCTGGTGCTCCTTTGTCTCCTTTTTCACCTTTTTGCCCAGGGAACCCTGGTGTGCCTGGTGAACCGGGTACTCCAGGAAGACCCTTTTCTCCAGGTGTTCCTAGTAAAGGGAAGGGAAAAATGGGTTCATCACAACCAGTGGTACCCTAGCAGTGTTGACAGTGATGTTCCAGTGTTGCTTTAGCTATTCAGAGCTATAAAAGTAAGTAAATTTTCTTTTGAAATTCACTCTCTAAATGGGACTTTTTATGAGATGATAAACTCTACTCATAGGAGGAGATGGTAATAACCTTGGATTCAGAGTAAACAAAGATCTTGCTAAAAATATGAACTGAATAAAACTTTATTTTTATTTGAATAATTTCTAATAGTACTACAGTGACAAAGTGACTCTTCTGCAGTGTATTTTTTCTGTCCTGATTTACCATTTCAGACTTCCACATTTCATTACCTAAATATGCTAGACACAAGGCTGTCCCAGTGGAGACAAAATTTCCATGTTGAGTTACAGGTATTTCTCCATTTTATTCTTTACCAATCTCTTCCACAACAACATTATTCCCAGATCCCTACAGTTTATAACTGATACTCAGTACACAGCAACTCACCAAACCTTTTAGAAGGAGGAAAATACACAAGAAGCTTAATGCAGTTCATAGACTACCAGAGAGAGACAGACAAACAGGCATCACTCAAAAAACTGCCTGTCTGAAACAAATACAGAAAACCCAAACATCCAGCTAAGGGATTTGCATGTAGTAACTTAGGAAACCATCCTATTATTTGTATATCACAAGAAGATTGAAAAGCAATGTCCCAAAAGCCTAACATTCAGTCACTGCAAACAGTGCAATTATTTAGTAGATCTACACCAACAAATATTCCATACAGGTTTCTCATAATGTTCTATATTAACTTGAGGAAAAAATAATAAGAAGAAATTCCTAGCCATCAGTACCTGGCAAACCCATTTCACCAACTGATCCTTTTTGTCCTGGAACTCCTGGATCCCCTGGGTACCCTGGGGGGCCTTGATCACCTTTTGGTCCTAGGGACAACAGAGAAATTAAGAATCTCATTCATTAACAAGGTTTAAAATACCTGACAAACAGTCTGTCTGCTGTTAGCTTCAGATATACCTGGTTGTCCTGGAGTACCAGGTTCACCATCTCTCCCTGGAATTCCTGGTTCTCCATAATCCCCACGTAGCCCTTTTTCTCCTGCTGCTCCATGGTCGCCTGGACACCAAAAATAAAAACACAGTGAGATCAATTTTATTAAAATTTACTGTAATTACATATAATAATCCTTCTAGTTTTAATTTTTGATCACTGCTGCTTCTCTCTGCTGGACAAGGATGGCTGAGTAAAACACAACTATCCAATCATTAAACCACTACTGAGGAAAGGCTGAAAACTATTGTAATTTTATGAGTGTCTATGCAAATTACAAAGCAAGTTATAACAGAAATTGAAATTAATGTTTAAGTTAGATTAATGAGTTATTTGAAAAGTGGTCTACAGGTGTTAACAGAAATTATTGATTTGACTGTTTCAGCTCTCTAAAAGGCACACGTGAACAACTAGTAAACACAGAAATTTGCTGGTTTTCCTGTTCCATTAAATGTTAAAGCACCTTCAGATGGCTTAATCTCTTACTCTATAGTGTGCCTCTTCTCCAACTTTATGTCCACACTTTCTGGTCATAAACAATTCTGTTAGTGTTGCATAGAGCTGCAGGACAATGGGTAACTGAAGATAAGTCACTGAATGTTTTAAAGTAAGTAGCTTTTATTAAAAACATTTCAAGATGTCCAAAACCAAATTTTTTCATTAGGCATCACTGATAATATCCCATGAAAATTATGTATCCTCTCTGCACAGTTTGTATTTTGGAAGCTTCTGAAAACATTACTGTGATATGTCTTGAGGGATGAAGGCAGCCAAAAGATCAGCAAAGTTATGGAGTATAACTAAATTATTTTTCTCTGCTGGTTCTTTTGGTTGAAAAGGGTGGGATAAGAGCACAAATTTGCAGTCTGGGATCTGTTTGGAACCTACTCTTCCAGGCTGTGTAAGCCAGGACAATCTGTAGACTGTGTGTGGTCAGGAAAAGGTAGAGCATAGACGTTTGCAAGCATGCATTGTTAGTGCTGGAGAGATTAGTAAACTAGAAACCAAAGAAATTAACCATTTGAATTTCTCAGCAAAGGTTTCTTTATTTGCATGTAACAAGTGTGCTTAATTTAGATTTCTAGAAACAAAATAAAATTAATCCTACATGCCAGTAGTAGATAAGGAAATAGTGAAAACAACCTACATGGTTTTAAGGCTTTACATACCACTGTATCTATCAAGGTCAGAAACAAATGAGAAAAAATAATGTAGATGATCTAATCTTTATAGGCTGGGAGCTTCACGAAAAGTGCTCTCAGAAGCTGCACCTCAGCTGAAGGGCAGATGTACTCCACGCTTGCTCACTCCCTCCCCTGCAGTCCCTGGCTGCCCAAGCTGCGAGGCACTACTTACCCACATGCCCAGGTTTCTCTGAGACCCAACCAGAACACGTGAGCCCAGATCTCCTTCTGACAATTAGCCAGGACATGGAGATAAGAGGTAGCTAAGACTGGGATATTCTCCTGTTTCCACAGTTCAAATACAACATAGTATAGTTATTAGTGATTCACTGTCAAACAGGAAAGGAGTCTGCCCTGGAATACACTGATGAAATGTACAGATGACACTCAAAAGGAAAGGCTCAAAAAGAGGACAGGATTAGACTACAGAATGATTTTGAAGAGTTGGAGTGAAGCTTGAAAATCATCACAGTGAAAATCAAAAAGTGTAATGCACCAGGTGTGTGATCATTTTGTATGCATGTCAAAAACATGCATTCAAAATGAAAAAATATTATTACACAGGCAGGAGTCCAGAACTAAGGAACTGAGAATTACACCTAATCACAAACTCAGTCAGCTGTTGTTTCAAGAAGGGGAAATTTCATTCTAGCCAGGCCTGAGTTGAAGTACTTTGCTTGTTTCAGCAATGTGCACTCTAACAAGGATGCAGCCAAACTGGGGAGAAATCAGAAGGTCTAAAAAGAACAATAATTGTTTCAGAAAACATGATATACTATTAAAGCCTGAAGGATTTGGCTGAGGAAAAATACAGACCACATGATCTCAGTAGCTCCCTTCTAAACTCTACACTTCTATTTTAACAAAATAAGTTAATTTTTAAAAGTAAATTTTAATGAAAAAGTAATTTATAGTAAGAAGAACAAATATGAAAAATATGTAAAATATACATGATTTTTTTCTTTGAAAAGAAATACAGGAGACAAAATTATTTCTAACAACTAATTTATCAATTATCAATAAATCTAAAAATCCAAGAAGAATGTATTATCTAATAAAGCTAACAAATCTATAACCGTGAAGTTTCTAAACAGAAAACTGATTGCCTTTCTCCTGAATACTTCCAGATGTGTCTAAACTGATGTAAGTTGATCTTTTGGTATAAGTGGCATAAATGCATTTCTTTCCTGAATTTTCTTCAGGTCACAAAGAAAAATGTGTCAAAAAAAGGCTGCTCACTTTTTTTCTTACGCTATCAGTTGATCTTCATGGTCACAACTACATGTTTTACATAAAAGACAGATTTTTCCCTTCTGGAAAGCTCTAGTTCTTTCTTTTAAAATTTCTTTTCTTTTCAGAAAGTCTTCTGATTAAAGTGGCAAAATCAATTATAAAAGGACAAATTGAACCAAAACCCTTTTTCGTCTGTGATCAATTGTTTTTTTTATAGAGTTGACAAACACCAGGAAAGTATCTATATTTGCTGTGTGAAACTCTTTAATTTTATTTGAAACACTGTTGCCTAAAATTAATGCAAAACTGAATTCCAAGTACTGCTGCTTGGTAGTATATGAGTGTTAATTCCACTTACTCACAGTTAGAGAATAAAGTTACCTTTTTCTCCTGGATCTCCCTTCTGGCCTTTGAGGCTAACCATGTCCATGTCTATTGTTCCAGGTTTTCCTGGGAGACCAGCTTCACCTTTATCTCCCTTAACACCAGGATCACCCTGTGGTCCAATTACACCTTTGAAACCTTGGCTACCTATAAAGAGACAGCACTGAATGTTATAGAGTCATACAAAACTTTGCAAAAATACCTAGTAGACAACAACAAATTAAATGAGCTATTTATTGAGACTTTGACCACCAAATACCACGTTCTGGAACAGCTGCTATGAACTTTTTTTTATATACTTCACAATAGCTCTGTCAGAAAGTTGACATATTTTTCCCACTTCACAGCCATTAATTTTAGATTCTTGAAACAATAAGGATGGGAATTTGGCAGTAATACAGAGCATTATCTGAGGCTCTTAATTAAGACCTTCCTACTGGCTTTTAATAATTTCAAACAGTGTATTTTTCTTGGAGTAACACCTATAGCAGCCCCACACCTAGCAAACCCTTATGTTGTCGAAGAATGGAAGAAAATAATGTCTTGGTGCCCAAACACATGATGGCTCCTGGGACATAGCTTTTTATAATATTTCTAACTTGGAGGAAAGTTACTTGACATAAATATGCCTTAGGCCAAATATACTCCTTACCTTGGGTTATTTCCCAACTTCTGTTGGGGAAAAGGTGGTTTGGTTTTTTTTATTTTGAGAAAATCTCTTACCTTTTTCACCAGGTAACCCTCTATCTCCAACTGGTCCAGGAGTTCCTGGTAATCCAGGAGTTCCCATAACTCCCATTTCTCCTTTGGGTCCTGAAGGCAAAGGAGAAGAGTGAATAAAAAAAATAAAGCAAGCAGTGTAAAGTACAAGAAACAGAATTATTTACTGCCTATCATATTAGGAGTTGCACTACTTAAGGAAAAATAGGACAAAGATGATTAAACTAAAACAGCCCAATAGAGAAAACAACAGTAAAAACAGTATTACGAAAACCAGAGAAAAACAGTTTGTAATGGGTTTTTGACAAATTCTTAGAACTTCCTATTACAGCAAACAATGCTGTCATTTACCAAGGCATTATTAAAACCATACTCTATCACTAAAACTGCGCAGAATAATCCCCTTTCATTATTAAGAGAAGAAAGGAGGAGAAAGGCTAGTTCCTTCAAGCTGCTGGATTTGATCCATGAAAGGACTTCAGCAGCAGCTCAGTCACATATGCACAGAGTTGCTTTACTGACATCAGTCTGTGCATTTTCCCAAGCTTGGGAAAATTCCTAACCAAGTGAAAGGGTGTGCTACTACAACTTAATAAAATAGTTGTCAAAGATGCTGATTTCTGAGGGACAAGGTATTTACCTGCTGATCCTTTCAGTCCAACAGCCCCCTGTGGACCTGGCAGGCCAGGTAACCCCACAGAGCCTGGGACTCCTGGCTGGCCTGGGCTGCCTTTATCCCCTTTTGGTCCTGGCATATCTAGACCTGGGACACCAGGGAAGCCCCTTTCTCCTTTTACTCCAGGAAATCCTAGGAAAAACAGAAGATACAGGGTTAGTCCTTAACAAAAACAAGGAAAAACATTAATAAGCATATCTGACCATGTCCACCTGTGACTCACAAATTACATGGCATGAAGGATGAAGACTCAAAGGCAGACAGCAGAACCAGTCCTAATTTCCTACGAGAGGCTTTAAACCTGTATCTATTACCCACCAATGAGCAGAGAAGACCAATCCAAATGCCAACAATCCTCTCAAGAAGGCCTCACCCTGCATTTTGAACCACATGGAGGAGGCCCACTGGCATGTCCCCCCATCAACCTCACACTGCAAAAAGTTCTCAAGCAACACTTTTACCTGTGTTATGCACTTATGTTAAAATTCTGCCCATGAACAGCAACATGGGAGTATTCTCTTCTCACCTGGTGGTCCCTGGGGTCCCGGCTGCCCGGCAGGTCCTGGCAATCCTGGAGGGCCCAGCCCTGGTGCACCTGGAGGGCCCTGCAAGCCTTGGAGACCTGGGAGACCAGGGTCACCTGCAGGGAGACAGGAGAAATATAGACCAAGCATTCTCTGATGCTGTTTGACATCTTGTTTGCTGAAGATGTCAGACAAGGTGCTTTGGAAGCACATGGCCAAGGAGACCTCAAGAGCCAGCAACACCTCAAAGCCTGGGCTTGGAATAAGGGCTGCTCTTTGCTGTTAGCATTTGCTAATGCAAATGGTGGGTGGTAGGAAAAAACAAGAAAGGAAAGGGGCAGTTCCCCAAGATATCAGTAGGATATTTCAGCGATGAATAGACTATTTGCTGCATCTGCAGGGCAGTGACTTTGAAAAGAAATACAAATACAAAACTTTATTTTTCCAGTGATGTTACCTCTGAATCCTTGCTGTCCAGGTATGCCTGGAAAGCCTTGTTCGCCACGTAAACCAGGCAGTCCTGGATTTCCCTTTTCTCCAGGGATACCAGCTGGGCCAGGGGGGCCTGGCAATCCCTTAGGGCCAGGCAGACCTACACCAGGTTCACCCTAGCCAAAGAAACGCAATAGAATAGGAATCAACAGACCAAAACCAATAAATAATTTACTAAATGTATTTAAATCATGTAATACAGGGCTAATGTATAGACCTCTATACATGACTTCAGGGGAGAGCTGTAAGCCCTTTAAAAGTGTTAATGTTAAACATTTATCCATCTACTCTGTCCCCTTGTGTGCACAGTGGGAAACAAAATGAAAGGCAGTTTGGCCAACTTTTAAAGCGTTGTTCCTTGCACATATTCCTATCAACACAGGGAGTCACAGATAACAGTATCAGCAGCTGGCATCTACCTTTTGGCCTTGTAAACCTGGAACTCCTGGCAAACCATCCAGACCAGGGGTTCCTGGAGTTCCTGGCAGACCAGGTGAGCCTGGCTGACCTTGGAAACCTACAAAACAAAGCAAAACAAACCAATAGTCTCATCATTGTTGTCTCTATCTGTAATTGACTTCTGCTGTTTCTTTAAGCCTCTAACTGAACTATTCACAGGGACATGTTAAAAAAGAGCTGGGTAGTCAAACTTCTAGGCATGCCAGTATGCAAATGTCATAGCAAAGATTCAAGTGCTGACTTCAGTTGGCTTCTGATGAGAAACAGCCACCCAGAAGAAATAAATGCTGAGTGTCTCCTCTTAAATAAATAGCCTTGTGGGTGCATCTCCCATCTCCCTTATGAAAAACATCCTGCAAAACTGGGTTCCCAAAGTCTTCTTCAGAAAAGGCAACTTAATGTATTAGGCATCAGACTGAGGGATGCACAAGAAAGTCCTCTTGTGAATCAACACCTTTTGTGCAGTATATGTCGTGTGACATGTTCTACGTTCTACATGTCCTGCTGTGGGTTTCATACAGAAGGTTTCTATGCCAGAGTTAGCCCATGAACTGCACCTTTGGAGTGCAAAAAGAAATGCCTACAACATTCTGCAAATCCCTTAAAGATAGCACTCATTCAACATCAGCACATGCACATCAAATTCAAATGAAGCAGGCATAAATACAGCTTTTAGGCTGAGACCCCAGAATGTCATTGGGCAGAGCTGAGTTCATGGAAGAAACTTTCCTTTTAAAGGAATAAATTTCTTTCCTTTAAAGAAATATATTTAATGTGTCATTTCTTTCATCTGGCATCAAAGTGCATATAGCAATTCTTTTCCAGATACAATGGGCCTTTTCTGTTCAGGTCCCAATGCAGTCTCAGAGGAACCAGACATGGTTACAGAGAAAAATATGCCCTTTCTCCTTATTAAATTTCTGACCCTCCCAGTTCATTGGTGTGTGGAACCATAAGAAATAATAATGAAGATACAAAAGAATTTTTGTGATTGAGGTGGCTGCTGAAATTTCAGTCATCTAATTCTAAATGAGCAGCAGTACTGTGAAATATGTCTTCAAAAAATCCAAAACATTTAGACTCCCTCCAAGCTACTTGCTAACTCTGACAATAGAGGGAAGACTAACTTGTGTTGAGTAAGCTGGAATTCTAACCAAGCCACTCTCAGCTGTCTGGGACTCAGCAGAGCTGTAAGTTCTGGCGCACAACTGTTACAGTTACGTCAGTATAGTATTTTGACCAGCTACACACAGAGTTTTCCATCTCTCAGAAGGGTAATCTCATCTCAGCAGCTTTAGTTGCTGCAGTGTAAGATGCTGTACTATATCACTCTCTATTCTGGCAGTAGCTGTGACACTGTCTGTAGGTGCACCACTGCACTACACAAAGCAAGTGTGCAGTAAGTGTGCAGCTGAACTCTATCAAAAGAATGCTCACGGTGGGGCTGGTTGACTTTTCAAGGGAGCTTCTTCAGCTGCACCTCCCAAATCCCAAGCAGCTACGGCTGGATGGCACTGGAGGCCTCCATCCACACTCCAGTTACACCAGCTTTGTTAGATGGATAGCTTTATCTTACCTTTGGGACCTGGAGGTCCAGGGAACCCTATACCTGGCTGCCCAACAGCACCTTTTTCTCCTGGTAGGCCAGGTATACCTGGAAGCCCAGGATTCCCTTTGTCACCTTTACAAATAAAAACAAGACAAATGTTAAAACAAAGGCTAACTTCTGGGGAACAGAACCATCCTGATAATCAGACAAAGATTAACAGACTGCTGTACCTTGGGGTCCAGGGAAACCAGGTGGCCCAGGAAGGCCATCTGCCCCAGGAGGTCCAGGGAGCGATATAGTTCGTCCTGCTTCACCCTTTGCTCCTGTAAATGTAAAGTTATATCAGAGCACAGGAAGTGATGAAATAAAACAAGGGAGTTCTACCTTGACAGCATTATCAGTTTATCCATACCATTACAAGTGACTTGTTATGACTTTTTTTTTGGTACAAGATTCATAAAAAACAAGGATGAACCTAAACCGTCTCATTTCACCTAGCAAATTCTTCAAGAAAACTGCACTAAAAAATTTGAAATTATACTGCTGAAAACAAACACTGATTTAAATCAGAAAGTGTTTTAATTGCAGGCTTAAATTCTGTTGATACTCTACACTGTACCATTTAAAGGGCATAATTTTAAAATATTTTTTCGTATTTTTTTACATTATAGCATTACCTGGAAGTCCTGGTAAACCTGGGGTTCCAGCAAAGCCTCTGTCTCCTTTTTCACCAGGTAATCCTGCAGCACCTATCCCAGGAGGGCCAGGAAAACCTCTTTCACCACGCACTCCAGGGAATCCAGGCTGGCCAGGGGGACCACGTTCTCCTTTCAAGCCAGCTGTACCCTAATTTTTGGAAAGTGTAAGTGTACTTCTTGCCTGGCTGGCAAGACAGAACACATCATCCTGTCTGAATATTTTGCAACTGGGATTTACCACAGGTATCTGTAATGTTGAAGAAAGCAGATTTTTTCTACTGAGTTAAATGGAAACAGAACTAGGTTCCATGTGGAATAGCACATGGAAATCACATCTAGCATGTAGGCCATGTTTCCAGTAGTGGATCTGGGAGCAGAGGTGAGCTCCATATTCAGGTCCATATCCACATCAGCTGAATTCTATCAGTGCAAGATTTTGAAGCATTTGTCTCCAGAGAGAAATATGCAGACTTGAATAGAACAGACTTGGATCTTGTCTTCACAATTTCCACCTGGATAACTGCACTCGTACAATCATCTCCAAACATCAGCTAAATCATTCACACTAGTTCTCACTATCAAGCTGTGTGAAAGGCAAAAAGGAGTAAAACTACTGTCCATATCTGAACCTTTTCTCTGTAGTCCTGAAAGTAACAAGCCACGCTGAATGCATTTGAGTCAGATTTGCATGACATATAAAAAGAAATGGTCTGAAAAACCTAGCTCTGAAATAGTGTGTTCTTGAAGAACTGTCTTCCTCACTACTTCCAGTGAAAACGGAATTGTCTTCTGAGGAAGAATGTACTACTCAAGGTAAGGAATAGATGTGGAAAAATGAATGAGGCCAATAAACATAAAGCATGTATAGGGCACAAAAGCATGTAAATTCTCATCTGAAAGGCAGAATGTATAGCACAGAAAGTAAACATAAATAAACACACAGTAGGACAATATGTAAACGCAAAGAAACAGACATACCGCTGCTCCTTTTGGACCCTGAAGACCTGGAAATCCATCTTTTCCTGGTCTTCCTTCTCGTCCAGGAGCGCCTGGCTGTCCTGGGAAACCAGGATCTCCCTTTTCGCCTTTCAGGATAGAATCATAAGTAAAATCTCCAGGTTCTCCTTTTGCCCCAGGGCTGCCCATAAGTCCTGGAGTGCCGGGGGGCCCCTGAAATTTCATAAATTCAGATGTCATCAGTTGCCCTACAAACCCTTTAACTGATACAAAAGAAAGCAAACCTTCAGATACTAAAGTGTAAATCCAAATCAAGGGAACCACCAAGTCATTGACTGAGGAGGTCAAATGAGAGTATTTTCCAAGACACAGCAATCTTGGAAGCAGAAAGCTTCTCCTTTGGGTAGTTTATTCATGACATTCACCAGATGTGAATACGGTGAATATATGTGTTCCTTCATTATTAATATTCATTGATTTTGAACAGCTGACACAATCAGTTGGTAATTTCAGAATACTATGCACATGCTCAGAAAATAGTTTTGTAACCTCTTCTGGAAAGAAATTATCTACCTAATGGTATACCTACAGGACTTCCAGAATCTCAATTTTTCCCCTACATGTTTTCTAGGACTTGAATGAACTTTTCTTACAGGAACAGTCTCTATAATTTCTAGTGACTCAGAGCTACTCATTTGGGTAATAAAACAAATTTCATGGGCAATGTCCACTATGTACAGCTCATGTGTGCCCTCCACAACCTGAAGCAGAACATGGTCAATGGTAACCTTTTCATTAGCATTGGACTGTTCTGAATCAAACTCTGATGTTCTGGCATGGCTGTAAGCAATGTCAGCTTGCAAGGCTAGCCTCTATGTAGTTTTTCCAAGTTAAATCATATGCTGGATCACCACCTGGCTGAACTTTGTGGAGCAAAACAAGCTCAAAAGCATTCAGAACTGCAGCCAATCCTTGTCTGATTAAAGACATGAATAACACGTATGAGGCAATAAAAGTAAAACATAAAGGTGTGGCAAATGCCAGGCAACAAAAAAGCTTAAATACTTTAGAATGTCCTTCATTTTTTTCCCACTGTTTCTTTCATGGAGCCCATTGATATTTTAGTACATTCAGTCACTGGGTAATGCAATCTATTTGGTGGCAATAGATAAAGAATTCATCTCAGTCATTAGCTGAATTCAGGCAGCAAGGCTTTATTTATACTCCAGGGAGTATAAATAAAAATTAAGTAATAAATAAAAATTGAGTAATGAATTCATACAAGTGGTTTGTGTTTTTTTACTTCTGAAGGTACCTCTCTCTCACCACTGTTGATAGAGGGAGCTCACTTAACCCTGGTGTGTGATAAAGCCAGAGCACAGGAATGTCACTGGGAAGGTTCATTGCCAGAAAGGATTAGCTGTATAGAAACAGGCACCTTTGTGGAGAAGAGGTCCAGGAAGACTCAGTCTACTCACACTAGGAATGGTGTCAAAACCCACATAATGCTACAGGAACATGAATGCTGAGGTAGGTTTCCACAGCAATCCTCAGTGTCCATAGGGGCACTTACACAGATTCTGATAAGGTCAAATGTAGTGTGACAGTACACTGCTCATCCAGGAGTCATTTGTCTTACATTTTAGACAAGTGTTACACTTACAGCTGTTCTGCTTCTGGCCTTTCTGAGAGTCATGTTGTGCTGCCTCAACATAATTTACAAGTAATCTTATTAGGATGCTACTCACTTTCACAGCTTTCCTTTATTTCTTCAAAAGTATTTAACTTTCCTGTTAACTAATTGTGTTTTACAGAACACATTGCACACACTTCCCAAAATATTCATTAACAACCTGGATACAGGACTGGAAGGAATACTAAGTAAGTCTGCTAATCACAATAAACTGGGAGGTGCTGTCAACTCCCTTTAGGGCAGAATGTCCCTGTAGAGAGACCTCAACAAATCAGAGAAGCAATCACTTGCACAAGGGCAAGTGCCAGATTCTGCACCTGGGATGGGGCAATCCTGAATGTGTGGATAGAGCAGAGAATGAGATCCTGCAAAGCAGTGCCACAGAAAGGGACCTGGGGGTCCTGGTCAGTGGCAAGCTGAACATGAGCCAGCAGTGCCCTGGCAGCCAGGAGGGCCAACCCTGTCCTGGGGGCATCAGGCACAGCATGGCCAGTGGGCAAGGGAGGGGATTGTCCCACTCTGCTCTGAGCTGGGGCAGCCTCACCTTTGGTGCCACAATACAAAAAAGACATTAAACTATTGGGGAGCATCCAGAGGAAGGCCACAAGAATGGTGAAGAGTATTCAGGGAAAGCCATATGAGGAATGGCTGATGTCACTTGATTTGTTCAGCCTGAAGAAGAGACTGAGGGGAGACCTCAAATCAGTCTACAACCCCCTCATGGGGGGATGAGCAGGGGCAGGCACTGAATTCTTCCAGTGTCAGAACTTGAGGAAACAGTGCGAGGCTGAGTCAGAGGAGGTTTAGGTTGGGTATCAGGAATAGGTTTTACATCCAGAGGGTGGTTGAGCATTGGAACAGGCTCCTCTGGGAGTTGGTCACAACAACAGCCTGACAGAGTTCAAGAAGCATTTGGACAACTCTCTTTCAGCACATGGTATGCTAGGGATGTTCTTCACAGGACCAGGAGTTGGACCTAATGACCCTGATGAGCCTCTTCCAACTCAGCATTTTCTCTCATTCTATGATTCAAAATTCAGCAAAACTGGCAGTGTGCTGCATACTAACATTACATTGCTTACACTACACTAGATGGCACTGTCTCTCTCTCAATATATTTGTACTCAACAGCAAAGCGTTATTGGAACTATTCATAAGAAGATCAGGGAATACCTGCATCTGTTTCCAGAGAAATCCTACTCTTTAGCAGCTCCACTGCTCAGCTTACTCATGCAGAAGGTCATGTGTCCCGCTGAGTTCTTATGACTGATAAACTCAGAAATATAACCAATATCTAACAGCTCTTTTTTAGCTCTTACAGTTCAAACCCACTTCTTCCTACTTAATTAGGCATAGTTAACCCTAATTTTATCATATCAGTGCACTATTTGGGTTTGTTTGGAGTTTCTTTCTTTGTTTGGGGGTTTTCTTCTTTGTTTTTGGGGTTTTTCATCCTTTTTGTTTGTTTTTAAACAGAACTGTTACACAACCACACTGATACACTGACCATCACATGTTTTTTGATCACATCCCTAGTAGGACATGTAGTATTTGGCAAAGCACTACTTACAGGCACCCCCGGAAGGCCATCAAGTCCAGGTAAGCCTCTGTCACCCTTGAAACCCGCTTGTCCTGGAAAACCTTTCCAGAGAGAAAAATATAGATTAGTGTATTACATGCTTTTACACATAGATCACTGTATGTGAATTCTTTGTGATCCCTTTTAAAGTGTCTCATTCCATTCCCAGCAATTCCAGCATAATGCTGCTGAAGCCAGTGAAGCTGTCTTGATTCATGCACTTGTGTTGCATGCCTGCATTTATAAACTTGGAAGTTGATGATTTATTTGACTTAGGAATGAATTTACCAATTCATGGAACCAGTGCAGAACTGAAACCAACTAAACTACATTCATTTTTCTGAACAGCACTAGAACAAACATTAGGTATAATACAATTTTTGGCATGTGGCACTTCTCTCATATGGTAGCAAAAAAATAGTTTTCTTTTTGGGCCACAGAATTTAGGTCTGCAATTGGAAACAAATGTATGGGCTACTGTCAAGCCTGGGCACATAGGCAAATTGTTCCCACATTATTTCTCACTGTGAAAATATTTGAGCCACTATTTGCAAAGACCCTTAATTGTGGCCAGTTTCTGCTTCCCTGATAATTCTGGTTGATTGTATTGGAAATTTGGAAACAGGACAAAAATATGACTATGCCACCCTCCTTTCATTAATCCTTTCATTAGTTTCACAAACAATTAGTGGGACAAAATGTAATTAATTTTATCATGTATGCTGTTTTTTTTAGAATTTAGCCTACACAGCTCATTCTTGGGTAATTAAGGAGTTTTTACCTGCTGGACCTGGCAGTCCCTGTGGTCCTGGAAGTCCAGGAGGTCCTACTTTGTCACACAAGGCACAGGCTTCACCTTTGTCACCTGAAAAAAGAAAACAAAAAAGCACATGAACAAAAAGATTCAAGACAACTGCAAGCAGGTGGATTCAGGGCAAATGTCAATTTAATATTTAAATATTACATTTAATATTTAAATAAATTGCTACTTCTAATTCCATGCTTCAAGGAGAAAATATTAGCAAGTTGATGTTCAAAATTCTTTTAAATTTTTTAATGGAATGGCAGGAGAATCAATGTAACTCTTATCCTAGGTTTAATAGGTAAGAGAATGGTTAAAAGGGACCAAGTTGAAGAGGATGATAAATAAAAAATATTCAGTGGGTATAGACAAAATAAAATTATTACAGCAGAAAAAGGATAACTTCTACAGTCACTGTAATTTTACAAAAAAAAACAGTGAACAGAATGAGATAAGAAAGGAGCAACCACCATGTAAATGAGTGCAGGTCTTTTTCTTAAATATTCATTTAGTCAATGCTGCTTAAACATATGGTTGACAGTCCTATTTACAGAATCACACAGTTAGGTCAGAAAATACCTTTGCCATCACTGAGTCCAACCTATGACCAAACACCACCATGTCAACAGACCATGGCACTCAGTGCCACATCCAGTCTTCTCTTAAACACCTCCAGGGATGGTGACTCCATCATCTCCCAGGGCAGCCCCTTCCAATGCCCAACCACTCTTTCTGTGAAGAACTTCTTCCTAATGTCCAGCCTAAGGTTGTCTATAGGTGCTAAAATTTTGTCTTCAATCGTACTCATGGCAATGATTCTTAAACAATTTTCATTCTCAACTCCTCTCCCTCCCTCCAAATCTGCATGTCAGAATTCACACCCTGAATTGCCTTGAACAGCTCAGTTTACACTGCATGGGGCCATATTCAACCCTTTGTGCTCCTCTTGAAGCCCTGGGTCACCCCCTATCACTTCCCAGCAATGAGCAGGCCAAGAGAAGTTCGTATCAGTAAATTCAATACACAATATCCTCCTTTACTCACCAGAGATTCAAGAAACATCTTCCATGTCCATGAACCATTTAACTAACTTTGAGTACAATTCCTCTGGATCCAGCCTAATTTTCTCAGTCTCTACATACACAAGCTCCAGGCTACCGAGCATTAGAATACAATCACTTAAAAATATTATTACCTTTCTCTCCCATCTCTCCTGGAAATCCATCTCTTCCTGGAAGTCCAGGACTACCTGGTGCACCAGGTTCTCCCTGCTGGCACTGATCAATTCCATCTGAAATAAAATTGCAATAAAGAATATTGTTTTGACAAGCTCAAGTTTCCATTAAAGGGTTGCATTTATATCATACCTGAAATGTTGCCTATGAAAAGTGGTCAGGATATCATTTTATTCCTTTATTTGATTTACTTGGAAAAATTTGACTGGAATTCTGTATTCTTATTCCATATACATTGCTTAAGAAACCCTGAGAATTACAGAGAAAAGACAGGCTCTTCCATAATAAGGTTACAAACAATTTTAACATAAAATCTATTTTCATATTAAGTTTTTGTTTGGCAAAGTATCACAGGTGAAAAACTGATGTTTTGACCCTGAAGAATGGAGAGTATTGATGTTCTGAAGAAATTCATTATGAATGTTTTTTTGTATCCTGACTTCTCTTTTCAATATTTTAGGAAACTTTCTATGTAAGAGCAACTTGTCAACATCTATTTAACTTCTTCACTCTGATCAAGCTTCCTGAAAACAACAAACCTCATATGTTAGGATCTGAAATATGTAACAAATGGGAATATTTATCAGGCTTGATATAAGAATATAAACAGTGCTTGCTCTGTTTGATGATATGATGCAGGATCTGACCCAATATAGCATGACATCTTTTTGGCCAAAGCCAGTAGTCAAAATGCTAATGTGAAGTTTGGGAAAAAAAATAATGAAAAATAACTGTTTCCTATTATGTACTTGAAGAAGGCTAAAGAAGCATCTGGGGAAGAAGTAGAATTAAGCAATGAAAAGAATTTGTATGAAAAATAGGAATTGCTCTTATTTTTAGGAAAATGTAAGATTTAGCCATTTAATTCCATATTCTACATGCTGGATTTTGAACCGCTTCACTGGCAAACACAGCAACAAACCAGACATCTTCCTCTGTGTTTGAACAAAGTATCTTTGGTTTAGGAATTCCACAGAGAATAATGTTTCTTTCAATAGCTTTAAAGTACCTTAACTATTGTTACAGGGATGTCATTCCTGATGTTGAAACGATAATTTAACTCACAATATCAGTATCACCTACAGCAAAAGTTCTCTATCAGAGTTAAAACATTAGTTGTAAGAGACTATTTAGCATGGAAAACTTCCAGATGTACTTGGTCATTGTTTCATTGCAGAGCAAAATCATTTTTCTCTTTAAAATTCCCTTATCACAATCTAATAAACTGTGTGTACTGTTGTTATCATTACTACTATTACTACTGATGTTATTATATACTTGTCATTACTGGCTTTTCATTTACTCCATAAAGCAGGTGTTTACCCTGATCTAGGAGGTGCCATCCATGCCTGTGTCGTGGGGTTGGAACCAGATGATTTTAAGGTTTCTTCCAACCCAGACCTTTCTATGACCCCATTCTCCTCTAAGATAATTTTATTTTATAATAGAAACTTCTGGCTAACTAGTACCTCACACTGCAGTTCTCACATCTTTTCAATCTGTTACACAGACTGGTACTGCAGACTTGTAACACTGAACAGCTATCTTTTATGCTGAGAAGAGTATTAGTACCTGCTATTTTTTTAATTGAAAATATAGAAATATCACTACAGTGGCACAATGGGACACAGAACAAATTAATGTGAATTAAGATCAATTGTTCGGTTACAGTCTAACAATTCATGATGAATTTTCTAAAAATCTTAGAATTATTTATTTAGCAAGGGATCCTTGTCCTTTCCCAGTAAGGAAACAAACGGCTTCCTGCACTGTACAACAGCTTTTACTTGTTTAATCAACAACTCAAATATGTTTCTTCCATGACACAGATGAATCCTGATAATAGCTTTTATAATCTTGTCTCTTTTTGCTTTTTTTAATGTGCATTATGAGTCTTCAATGTGGAAAGCAACTAAGGGTTTTACCTACCTGCTATGCCAGGAGGTCCTGGTGGGCCAGGCAACCCAGGGGGACCTGGGAAACCATCTCTTCCAGGGATTCCAGGTGAAGGGAATCCCGGAGAACCCTTTTCACCTTTTTCACCTCTCTCTCCAGGGACACCAGGTGATCCTACCCGGTCTGGAATTGGTCGACCTTTGGACAGAGTAAAACATACATGTAAAAATGACAAGTGAAAAGACAGCAACATTATCAACCACAGTAACTTTCACAGGGTTTTAGAGACAAATGGAGAAATGTTAGTGCAAAAGAAAAAAGGGACTGTATTTTAATTATTGGTGATTTATACAAAATCAAGTTTGTATACTCACTACAGCTGAGAGAAACTCATTTCTGTTAGGTCCCTAGACAAACACACCTCCTCTGTATCAAGTGCTTTTCTGACATTTAGTTGGACTCACTTTTGTTGGGTAGTAAATAGTGTCAAGAGTGGAGTTAGCTATTCCACCTAGAAACTATTACACACTTCTTAACCTCATAACAAATCAAATCTAAAGCACATCTAGAAAGGGAGGGCATATCTGATAATTGCAGTAAATAAGTACTTAACAATGCTAGCAGATTTAAGGAATGCCCAAACCAAAATGGTTTGTAAGAATAGTAAGTGAAAAACAGCCAATAAAGAGAAACAGTTAAACAACTACCAAAAACCCTAGTTAAGATCTCCTTTCAGCTGTTTGTACAGTCACACAGGTCTTCATATTTTAATGACTTATTTTAGTTCACAGCTCATCACTGCACTTGACCACTTAAACATTTTGAGTCATCTGCAACACTGCAGGAAGATATAGAAGTCACAAAAAGCTCAATTTCTGTAGGGTAATTACAGAGTAAGAGCTATCATTACAGCCTGTTCTATGTAGCATCTTCTCCCTAACCTGTGAAAATTTTCCTGGAAACTATCTGACCCTGGCTCACATTAATTTCATATTTAGCTCACTGCCAAGATAGAAAATTAAAGCAAAGAAGGTAATGGTAGTATCACTGCAGGATGTGTTAAGTGTCAGGTCTCCACAGATGATTTGCCTAATTTTTGAAAAGCAAATATTGTGGTGTGGGTCAAACACATGCACATGTACTTATATGCATAAAAGCAGGGTTACCATGGATGTGAAAATGTCGAAGCTCTTAAAAAGGCAACATTTGTAGGCAAAAGAAATACTTTTCATTAGACCAAGTCACGTAGTCAAAAAAGCAGGAAGCTTTTGTTCAGGAATGACTTTGATTGAGTAAGAATTGTTTCTTCCTACAAACTTTGTTTTATTATACTTCTACAAACACATACAGAGCTGAAGTGAGGGCAAGACAAAGATCTAGATATGAGCACACACACTCAGGTATATGTGCAGATACTCACACATTCAGAGTTAACAACTCCTCTTGCCCGATGGAGTCATACTCTGATGAGTACTGTGTGCTACATTTTCAATTTCAGCAGAAAGTTATCAGAATAGAACAGAAAGAACCAGGCTGGATCACATCAGAGACATGAGAAAAGCAATCTCGAGGAAGGGTCTGCAGGGATGATTAGACCCCTGAAGAGGTCAGTGCTTGGGTGTTCAAAAAGTCAGGCAGTGACTGAAAGCAGCTAAGGAGAATATCCCTCAGGACTCTACACCCAAGAACACATGACAAATGTGAAAAAATCAGTAGTCGTAATTTCATACCTGGAGGTCCTGGGATTCCTTGTGCACCAGGGAAGCCTTTAGAAAGAGAAGGTTTCAATTAGGCAATGAATTCTGCAATGCCAGTGAAAGTGAGCTTGTAGGAGATATAATTGAAATTCGCATTCATGCATATTCACATTCTGAATCAAATTTGAAGCTAAATAATCTATATATATCTTCAAGAAGCACATTCAGAGAAATGCTGCTGTGTGCCAACTTCCCCAGTGATTTTTCTTTAATTAGCTAATGTCTGTAATGGGGAAAATGGGAAGGGAAATGCTTGATTTTCTCTGTTTACTGAAGACTTTTTAAAAATATGCAAGCCAATCTTAGCATAAAAAATTAGCTACTGACTTCTACAAAGGAGTCTCAAGATTCTCTGCATTAATTACCCTCCTTACGTTCACGTTGTTTTCCATACTTTTTAGATAATCTCACTGAATTATTTAACTGCCATAAAAACAGATCCCAGTTTATAATTTTTCACCTATAACTGAAAGGCAATCTTAGTTATGTTGAGAATCAGAAGTGTCCTACAAGATACTACAAAATATAATAACCTGAAAACAATTAAATAACTGTAAAATTACACTCATATAGAGCTCCTGAGCACAGATAGTACAATTAGATATCCTGAGCACAGATAGTACAATTTTAATTTCCTTTAGCGAGAAAACTAAAAGTATAACTCAATTAAAAAGACAAGACAAAATACATACCTTTTTCACCTTTTTGACCTTTCAGTCCAGGCAAACCTGAAACTCCAGGGTCTCCTTTTTCACCAAAGGTATCTATTGGTCCAGCATCTATCATCTAAATCACAGGACAAAGATCAAAAACATACAAATGAGCCATCATATCTCCCCCATCTTCATCTGATCTTCATCATCCCCCATTTTAGTTTTATTGACAATTTTCAGCAGTTTTGATTATACTTGCAATTTCAGCAAGTGAGAGGCTTGTAGATGCTGAGGAATTACTAGAGAAAATTAATTCTACCCAAATGCCTTCATATCAACTGCAGTGAAGTTGCAATTGCAATGAATTGCAATTAAGTGGAGAGCTTTTATAGCATCTTCCTCAAAAAGGATGCCAGAAAACCTTAACATGGTCTAAGCACTGATCCATTAGGTTTGTATTACCTTTTATTTTAAATCTTATGTTCTGCCAATTTCTGCTAACATTAATCTGAGCTCAGTATATAGGATGCTAATATTTACAATACAGTGTTCAGGAAGTACATACAATTTTCCAAACCAAATTAGCAGATGTTGGGAATTTGTTCCCATAATTGGGAAGCAGTGCCATTAAATCATCTATTTGTTCCTGACTAACCCTAGTCTTTATTTGAAGTGTTAAAAGAATCATAAGTTTCTCCCCTGGTTTCTTCTTGTGTATAAGGGCCAATTTCTGCTCAGGGCCTCACCAGACATCAGTCAGCAAGTGGTGAGCAACTGCACTGTGCATCACTTGTCTTCCTCAGGTTTTATTCCTCTCTCTCTCTTCTTGTTATCTTCCTTTTCTTCATAATTATTACTACCACCTACTACTAGTAGTTACTTTATTTTTATTAATAACTTGTTCTTATCTCATGAATTTTACCTTTTTCCAATTCTCCTTCCCATCCCATGTTGAGGAGGGACATGAGTGAGTGAGCAGCTGTCTGGTGTTTAGCTCCCAGATGTGAAATGGACACATTTATTCTTTTGAACTGTCTTTTGGACACTGTGTAGTGATTAGCAATGTATATAATATTCACAGTCCAAAACACTTGAAATTCATGTTCTTTGAGGATTCCTTTCCCAAATTTCAAACATAAATAACTGCACCCAACTTTTGCTTCCATTAAGGGAAAATATGGACATGACTGAAGAGAACAAGATCAGACTATACATAATATCTCCTTTTTTCCTCATTGTTTGAGCACTTTGACTTCCACAAAATTTAATTTGATTTTCTTTTAAGTTTAAAATGAAATATGAATTTATTTTACTTACTCTTCCTGGAGGTCCTGGATAACCTCGCTCCCCTTTGTCACCCTAAATCAAAACAGAATTTATGTTTTAAATCCAGATAAGAATTTTTTGCTAACAAAATCAGATTTCCTCAACAAATGAACACTTTGATTACAGATTCAAACAACATCCACATGGTAATTACCTGGAATGCTGTATTAAACAGCAGCAGTATTTGGCTTGCAAGCCTGTACTGGTTTGCACTATTTGAAAAGAAACTGGAGGTTTTAGGGAAGTACACTTATACCCATGCTGGCTGGACAAAGAGCTTGTGAAAATAAAGCCAGCATTAATCAACGCAGATAAGAGATCTAAATTGGAGGTAACTACACTACCTTCATTTTGGCTTCTCCTAGTCTCTGGATGACATAAAGCCTAGCAACATTCAATTAATATTGCTTTATGTGCATTCATTTCTTTAATGCAATCAATGAACACACCACAAAAGCTATTAACTCATTTTGTGTGAAGGGAAGCAAAAGCTGCTACTACTCACCTTGGTGCCAGGATCCCCAGGCCGTCCTGGAATCCCAAACCCTCCAGGCAAACCCTTGTGTAGAAGACAGTGAAACCAGAAGAAACAAATATAGGTGGATCTTAAATGTGACAGCAGCAAAGTTTAAAAATTTTAAAACTCACAAATTCACTGAAAGCAACAACTTCAAATAAACAATTCAGAAGGCTAGAAAATATCAACTGTCCATAATACACAGACAGCTCTTTGTTTTGAATGTAAGGAACAGTACTGTAAATTGAGTAAAATACATACAGGTTCTCCTTTCAGTCCTGGTTCACCATCTTTTCCAGGCTTTCCCTGTAAAACACCAAGTTTCACTCTGCTTTAACAACCACATACATGAGATTTCTAAATACAGTGCATGGAATACTAGAACGAAATTATCGCTATTGCAATGAATATTGCAAAGTGTGCTAATGCAGCCAACAGAGCAGAGGGTACAAATGGTAAATATGCCTAATGCTTATATTACCCAGCACCCTCCAAGATGCCATATTAAATAAAATCCTGCAAATCCATTCCCAGATTCAGAAATAACATAGATTTCCCTGTCACAGAGTTTTCCAGACAAAATATATCTACAGCACAGGAAACTAGAACCAGATCCATCTTTTTCCTTCACAACAATCCCTTTCTATATACACACTCTGAAGAGTATATACTTCACAAGACATTTATGCATAGATATTCAGTGATTCAGTTTCAGCAGAAGGCTTGGAGAGTGGCTCTCCTTGGAGATTTTGTGGTAATGTAGTGGTAATTCCACTTCCCTCACACTGAAATTCAAATCATAAGACAGATGATACACTAGAAGTCAAAATTCCCTCCTCCAGAGTAAAATCACAATGATTAGATTTCCATGTTAACCTACAGAGAACACAAGATTCCCTTGAAGTAGTCAACAGTCATCACCTGATAAGTGATCTAGATGGACAAACCTACTTTTCAGCATTTTCCCTTCCTCCTCCTCTGCACCATAAAAGGTCTGGGACATCAGCTTGTACCCTGATCCACTGGAGGCTGGCTTTCATTTGGTGCCCCAGTGCTTAGATTGTATGTGTAGCATAAGCAATATGAATTTGTCCCATAAACCCAAGGAAATGTAGATACTTAATACACAAAGTAACAGTGTATGTAGTTCAGTCTAAAAAATAACCCCATCAGTTTATCCCCCATATTGTCTTAGACAACATATTTGAAGGACAAAAAGGGTAGAACAAACATGAACAGGCCACCACCATTGCGGTGTGCAGCTATGCTCTCTTATAATGAAGGGTTACAAGTAATTTTTAAAGATTAATTAAAACTGTGATCTGCAAAGTCAAGAGAGTCTTCAAATATACACTGTGATCAGAATTAATTATATGGTTTAATTTTATCAAATTAGAATATCAGATTGTAACATCTGTTCATCTTTCAACGCTTAGCTTAATTTCAGAAGTAGCTATGACTTCCTGAACAATTATATATAAAATATCTTAGAAACTTTGTTCAAGGAATTCTGCAGAAACTGAAAACTATACTTTTGATAAATTCGTATGTTCTGGTTTCCTCAAAAAGTTCTAAGCCAACATGTCTCTATTCCTCCAGCTTCAAGCCCTCATTTACAATAAGAGTAAAAATACATATGTAATAGAAAAGATAATCCTGTCACATAACTTTACTGAAAAGTTAATAGAATGTTTGACTTTGAAGCATAGTAGAAAGGGAGATTTTATCTTTTCAGATTGAAGTAAAATCAAATGTGCTGTGCCTAACAGTTTATGAAGACCCACACCTTGAGAAATTTAGAATTCCTTGGAATACCTTACATGCATTTACATGCAATATAACACATTTCGATGTAGGAAAAGGTACAATTTTTCTAGCTGCTCAGCTGTGAAAGAAAGCTATCATATACAGCATGACTCATGGAGAAGTTCTATATCCTCACTGGTCACTAGTATAATTTTTTTTTCTTTGCTTTCTTCTTCCATTCTGGAATGACTTCATCTTTCATCAGTTTGGATTAATGGGAGTTTTGCCTTCACCTTCAGCACTGCAAGCTACTATTAAATGTCTTTAGTTATCTAAAATATTACACACCAGCATTACCACGTGTTACTTCTACCTTGATTGTACACCTGTCCAACAGCAAAACTTGCTTATTTAAAATATAATAAATTTGCTGTTTAACTAATGGTTAGTAAGTTTAATTAGCTAATGGAAAGAATACAGTAACTGCAATTAAGGTATTGATAAAATTGAATATACTTACACGTGGACCAGGCTTCCCAGGCTCACCCTTGTCTCCTTTGAAACCTGAACCTGGCAATCCCTGGAAAATAAATACTCACCAGATTAAAAATACTGCCAGATTCTAAAGTGTGTTTTCTTTTATCTAATAGGTATAAAGATATTCAGTGCCATTATCAGAGTCTTTACCATTTTATAGTAGTAAAATAATAATAATACTCACTGGGATTCCCTGTTCGCCCTTTTCGCCTGGATCACCCTAATGAAATTATTGAAAAAATGTAAATTAGTAAACAAAAACTTAATCATTATTCATTTAGGTTATAAGTAATTGTTCATTTCAGCAAAAGCACCTTTAATCCTCCATTTCAAGAACTATGCCTAATAGTATGATGTGCAAGAATTAGACAAACGTCACACATGAATCCATTAAGCTAATTTATTTTACTAGTATATATTGCTTCAACTGTTTAATTCAGTAATTGAAAAAATCATTAGCACTAAGATTTCACTAATGTGTATATGAAAAGTTGAGTATATGCTACTTAATTCAAGCTCTCAGAATATTTTTACAATATCCTATCCTTATCAATCCTCCTTCCTCAGAAAGTCATCTGCTGCTTACTTATTTGTGCAATTATTGATGCATTTACCATCTATCATAAACTTTTCAGAGAGACTTCTAGAATGAAAATTAAAATTAATCCATGAAGTAAAACAGGTAGAAATCTTTTGAAAAATTTGCTCTGACTTTGTATTTTCTTTTTCCTGTTTCACTTTTATTTGCTAATTCCTATTGATTATATTTTAATGAAAAGTACAAGAAGTTTAATCATTTAACATCTCACCTTTTCTCCCTTTATGATTTCACTCCCTTTTTCCTTCATATGAGGTGCTGGTCCTGGGGGTCCTGGGGGGCCCCTTACCCCTTGTTCTCCCTGTCAATAGCAAATCCAGAATTGTCCATTGAAAACAGAAAGACACTGAGATCAAATATGGCTAAGACCAGTAACATTAAAGAGAACTAGCACTTTTTTAAAAAAATACAGCTAAATGAGTTTTTTTTAAATCCTTTTTTCAGCAAAATCAGTGAGATGAAGGCTTACAGAAGTCACTACTGTGTAACTGGCTACCAACAGAGGCTCCCGGAAGCAAGATTTCTGAATGTACTCTTGAGGTGGAAATTGATTAATAGCAAATATCACAAACATATTTAAATAGTTACAGCAATAGTACCAAAGTTTTATAGTGCCTCCTTCAGGAGGAAGGAAATTAGGAGGGAAGAGGTCAGGTACAGAAAGTCAATGGCTAAAGGAAAATGTTACTCAGAGTTTACAGTGCTCCAAAAGCTTTATAGAGGTCCAAAAAGGCCAGCTTCAAGATGATGACTGTGGATGACTTTTTACAATGCATGTGTCCATTGCAGGGTCAGAGCCTCACCTCTCTCTATAGTGCAAAAGCTCTATCTTTAACAGTAAAACACCTCGGAAAAGACTGCATAAATTCTGCATAAATTTCTGTCAATCAGTAATGTACATCATTTGTCTTTTGCTGAAGACAAACCTGAGGAGTCCAGGAAATCTCCACACACTTCTATGTCATATTCTCCAACATTCTTCAATACATTTCATGATAAAAAATTCATTTCAACACTGTGTCATGTTGCAAAAAATTCTATCCATTAGGAATATTGACTCAAAATCTATTAATAAAGTGGCAGTTTAAAAAAAAAACACAAAAAACCTACCTAAGTAATATAATTTACTTATACTTCAAAAGCTCTCAGTCAATGACACTCATGAAAACCTTCTGGAGAAGTACTCAGACACACTATGAATTTACTGACTAGCCCTTGAAAGCATGCAGTTCTTGGCTCCCAGAAACACAACATAAGGAACTTTAAGCCGAGACCTCTTAGTGTGAGAGGTAACAGATTAAAGCCGACATGTATTACCTCCCATTTGATGAGATTTGATTGAGAGAATAAATGGGATCCTGGAGCACATCTTTTAGCTTAGATTCATTCAAAAGTAAACCACTCTGTGTGCTCTGAAACCTCTTCCTGGTTGTGTCAAAACACAATAAAAGGAGACAACTGAAAGATCTGCCTCAAATGTGTGCATTACCAAACCAAAGTAAGGCAGACAGACCTTAGAGTCCTGCAACAATTAATTCCAATCATTCTGAACAGCACATCAAATCTCATCCCTTAGAACTAAATTGATTTTAAAAAAATCTCGTGGTGAGTCCTAATATACAAAATAAATGTTTCCAGAATTTGCCTACTGCAAATTCAAGTAGCTTTCCAGGCACAGCTGGGAAACAGGATGGTGACCTAAATTAATGTCAGGTGTAACATCACCATTAAAAAAGTCTGTAGCTGCTTTTGTTCATTTAGGTGTAAGTTACAGCTTTACTCAAATCTTCCAATACAGCGTTTATTTTCTCCATTGATTGATTTCAAGGGTTTTCTTTATTTAAAACAAAGTATCAAGAATATTTCTGACAGTTGTTCTCTAGAAGTTCACAAGAGACCTACCTTTTCACCTTTGGGACCCTGAAACCCCAAGCCCATGTAGCCCTGAAAATGTAAATTACACACACTTAGTCAATTCTTTTCTGCAGTGCATACATGCATATGTATAAACTTATGAAGGTATTATGTACTCCTCAAATGCTAAGGGAGAATATAAAAGACAGAGTATGTCTTTTAAGTGCATGTGTGAAACAGATAAATAATCATGTCCTAACTTCCCTGCTGTTTTTAAAGCCCTATGTCACAGCAACTTGTGAAAAAACTGATTGAAATCCATCAGATAATTTTACTGTCAATATGCTTTTACCCAACATTTCAGTGAAAAATTGACATTTTAAAATTAATTCAAATAACCATAGAATTCTGTAATTACTACTAATTTGATCAAGTGAGATAACAGCAAGACAAATTTGAAAAGTGGTAAAAATCTCTCATTAAGACAGAGAAATAGATCCCAAGGTATAAAAAAAGCCCACACCTTTTGGACCATTAGTTTCCAGAGCTTTGAGGATCTGGTATGCAAAAAAATAAAGAAATGGACTTATTATTTATATTAAAGAGTGTTACCTTCTCGCCTGGAAGTCCTGGTGGCCCTGGGGGACCCTACAAGACAATATATTTTAGCATGCACATGTATAGAGTTCACTAAGTGGAATAATGCCTTATTCTATGAAAACAGCAAAAAGGCAGATCTTTACATTAAACCCAGTAATTTTATTTTGCTCTTGCTGTGCATTATTCACAACTTAGAATAAAAAATAGCAGCAAAGGGAATCTAAGATATCTCATTAATTATTATAATAACAGACAGATGATAATGTGCTTCTACATTAATACTCAGTGCTGCTACCCATAAGAATAACCTCAGCAAACATTTGGATTTTGCGATGGATGCTTGGTATATAGTTTATTTTCTATAAATTAAACTGTGGAAGAAAGAAAAGGAGGACCAACAGTTACAGTCTCTCCCCCACAAAAATACCCTCCAAGTGTGCAAGAAGAGAAGAGGGCTGTAGGAGCAGCTGCTACTGAAAACCCATGTTGACCAGGAATTTCTGCCATGGCAGAGTTCAGAAGGCTGAACATGAAGCCTGGAACTACACCTGTTTTTCCCAAATCCCAACCAAGACCTGCTACACACACCTTCGAGAACATTCCTGTAATAAAGAGCTGTAAGTGAAGTGCAAATCACCATGAAGTGAAGCTTACTTGCTCTCCTGGAGGGCCTTGTGGCCCCATTGGTCCCTGAAATCCTGAAGCTCCAGGTGGACCCTATGAAAAATTCAAATGGCATCATAAGAAAGTGATATGGTAATTTCATGATACTGATATAATTTTAATTGAAACACACTACTATCCAAACATCATTTAGACTTACAGGCAGTCCAGGTTGGCCAGGAAACCCTTTTTCACCCTTTAGCACACCAGGACTTATAAGACCAATCACTTCACCTGGATCTCCCTATAGTAAGAAAAGAAAAAGAGTAAGTCTTGAACATGAATTCAAATACATTCAAACCCACCAGGAGAGGAAAGCTGTAGCTATGCATACTTTGGAATCACTTGGAAAGCTGACTTTAAAAAAGCACCTTTATTTCTTTTAATTCAGCTGAAACACAGAGATATTAGAAGTTGAGATCTTAATTGTCAAATGTACTCTAAAGCCGCCTGAAGTGATTCCAGTACCAAAACTATCTTCATACCTCATTTCCTGTATTGTAATGGGTAGTCAGAATGACTTTTCCATGAAATCTATCACTACTACAGTGTCACCACACAACTGGAGCATCTGACCTGGCTGCTGAGAGAAGTGGTAACCTCACAATCTCTTTCCCCTGCTGAGATCTTCATGCTTTCACCTAATTTTTACATAAAGGCCATTTATGGTGTTCTTTTTTCTTCTGGAAAGGAATACATTTAGTCTTACTTTAGAAAACTATTCTGATCGCCATCCGTTTCTTTATATCCCTTCTTTTGAGAGCAAATATCCCATTTTTCCTGTGTTTTTGTACAAAGTTACAAATAAGTGATTTTATTTCAGTTCTGTACCTATGCATATATGCCTAGCAAAGAAATATCTGAGTACTTCAGTGTTTCTAGAATGAGTCAGTTCTTTCTGTGTGAGAGTAAGAGAAATAGACATTTTAATAACTTGGGTTGTCATGTCATTACCCATTTGAGATTGCTTTTAGACTTATTTAGCTTACAGTTCCAGATAATATCTGTTCACTTTAAAGACATCTTGGATGTCATTCAATGCTTCATTCTCCAGTTCACAGAATGCACTCAGATACCTAGTTAGTTGGTCTGATTTTTTTTCTTTATGAAAATTGTCTAGTATGTGTTGGATGATTCTCATATTGTGGGATATAGGACCTTCTTCCACAAACATTATCCATGTGAAACTTTTGAGATAAATCAAATGTCAATACAAAACCAAACATTTGAATCATAAAACCTATCTAAGCCTTTATACACAATGGGGTGGCCACCACAGTGTTTGTACATTACTAACAACATGTACGACTTCCCTCCTGTTGTAGTCCATATAATACTTACCCTTTCAAGTTCTGCACAGAACACATATGTTCAATTGTTATTAAGTGGGGAGGTGCAAAGTGAAACAAAGCAGTACAACTTTTCTGTCCTTAAGTAAAGACTGCTGCATGTCTTTAAGTGTGTAGAGATCACATAAATTCTTATTGTTAGAAGTAGGATGTACATTTATAGAATGTACCTTCATTCCAGGAGGTCCTGGAGGTCCCTGTGGAAAAAACAGATTTGTTTGAGTATAGCTCCTCAATGCTGTATTTATTATATCTTAAACTCAGTATAATTTCCTATAGTTATATTTGCATTTCAAGAGTAAGCCGTAAAAAAAAGTGAATCAAGCAGAAAAGAATCTACTTACTATACTTCCAGTCAGTCCTGGTAAACCTGGGGGACCTACTGGACCTCTTTCACCCTAAGGGGAACAGATAAATTGGTTTTGTTTAGGGAACATATGCCTGAGGGACGCTTTTACTTCAACACAGAGATGCTGTTATAAATGTATGTAAATGTCACCTTTGTGCCATTACATCCTGGAATGCCAGGTGGACCAGGAGGGCCATCTTGTCCAGGAATGCCCTACATGAAGAGAAAGTAAAGAAATTAGCAATATAAGGAATAATCCAGGTCAGATGTCACAACTAAAAGTTTGATATTCCTTGCAAAAACATATATACTTCATACATACAGGAAGGCCTGGGTTTCCTGGAAAGCCTGATACTCCTGGGGGGCCCTGCAATTGAGAAAAACAAAAACTGAAATGACAAATCCACAAAACAGCAAGGACAAGCTGCAGGCCTATTTCCATCTCCAATCTGACAGTAAAAATCAGTAGCATTTGAAACTTCCTTGACAAGAAAGCTCTAATCTTCAAAACCTCTCAAATATGTCACCTTAGTAATGAATAACTGAAAGCCATTTCAATAACTGAAACCTTTTATATTTCTGTAACTTTTTAAGCAGCAGGAAATAGATCAGAGCCTCATGTAGAGGTAAAAGGGAATGCACAGGTGTCCCCTTCACACAAACACCATTCCCAAAATGAAATTTACTATAGGCATCTCTTCATAGCAGAAGATAATGTTAGCACACCATAAAGATGCTTCTCTGTCTTTCATACTCATCAGTGTATCAATTCCTTATTATCAAAACTCCTACCAGGCTGAGATAATTCTTTCTCCTCCAACAGCTATTCAGTGTAATGAATCAGGCATTTAAGCTGGCACATTATTTTCATCCTATCATCTTACTTATCCATGCAGCATTTCCTAAAACATGTATTATGAAGCAGAAAAGATGTGTGGGAATCCTGAGCTCAGATAGTGTATTTTCTTCTTTCAGAACTTTATAATTGCTAAAATACATTTTACTCTGCAGCAAACAAACACATTAGCCAGGAGGTGCCAATTCACATTAACACTCAGGATACCCCAGGCCAACGCAAACATCGTGCATTGAAATATGGATTTCTTGATCTAGCAGTATGCCCTCTCTGTAACACCTCAAAAACTGCAGTTACTTCAGTAAGTTCTATTTGCTCCAGCAACTTCAGGCAAAGGGAGAACAAAACTGAGATGGCATTTTGAGAATCTGTGAGCAAGAGGGTATAGCTGAAAATGCATACATCATTACTGGCCAAGTCACTTGAATCCTCTTTCACCATGACATTTAGGAAATGTGAAAGTTCTCAGAAAGAGCTTGGCACCTCACAAAACCCAAACAGGCACGGCCCTGGCCAATATAATATGCTAAAAGGAGTGCTATATAAGTGCCCCATTTAACAGAAATGACAACAGGATGATCACAGATATTCAGAGCCTCCTTTAGCAAAGTTAAGAAATCCTTGTCCCTGACTTTAATTTGCTCTGTATCTTTTTAGCACATATGTGCTCATGACTATGTCAGCTTCTCTGCTGGAGTGCTTCAAGGGTAGATGGCAAATGTAAGGGAGAATTTTGCAAGAGGAAATAAGGTTGGTTCATTCTGAAGCTGGAAAAAAGCCTTTCAGTATGTCAGGAAGATATTAGAGGCATATTAACACCAGTGCTGTTGACACAGTGATAAGTATCAGGTAACAATGCAAATTAATAAAGACACTGTCTGTCCAGTGCAGCAAGAACTTCAAAGGTAAAAGTGAGAATTTTGAAATTACAGCTCAAGGGGATGTCATTCATTAACTCAGAAACTTCCTCTTGCACTTGTAAGGCAGCCATTCCCAAAGACTCAGAATTGCAAGAAAGTAAGACAGAACTCACTCTTGTTCCCTTTGTTCCTGGCAGTCCTGGTTCTCCAGTATCACCCTGAAAAGTAAAAGAGAAAGCTTTATCTTTTCTTGGGACAACAATTTAGGAAAATCTGATTGTTTTGAATACTAAAGCTTAAGTTCTTACCTTAAGCCCTGGTGGCCCAGGGGGACCTTCAGGTCCTTGCATTCCAGGAAACCCAATCACACCTTGTAGTCCCGGCAAGCCTCTTTCTCCCTGTGGAAGAAAAAAACTAATTAGGAAGTACACAACTGAAGCTCCTTCTTCAAGTAACTCACATATCCCATTCCTGTGCTCAAGGAATCTGTTAAGTGGTGAGAAGCTACATGTGACAGCAGGGTTCATGTTGGTACTTGAAAGAAGGATTATTATAAATAAAGAAATATTTATGGTTCAATAATATTTGGAAGGCGATGAGTGTGGCAAAACAGAAAAGCACTCTTTAAATATTAGTTAAACCTTTTTTTCTGGATAGCACTCTTCCTAGCAGATTTATTCTCCTCCTCCTCCAGGAAGGTCACTTTTCCTCTAATAAAACCTACCTGCATTCCTCCAGAGGTGCTGCTAAATCCCAGTAGAAAATCCAACAGCCCAAATCAGCAACTAAATTTCTGAAAACCACAAATATCACTGTTTGGTCAACTAGTGCATGAATGGTAAATACCACTCTTCTTACACACCACTCACAACAGCAGGTTTTGGACACCAGGTTTGTCACTTAGGCTTGAATTTCAGGGTGTTTCAGAGACAGGGTGCTTCAAGATACCAGATCTTCCCAAGAAGCTGAACACAAAATCGTATTTGTATGTGCCATCCTTTTGATTCTACTTTAATACTGTATGGGACATCTGTGCTGTCCCTCTCCCTACAACTCCAAATGTATTTAAATCAGATAAATCTAGAGGCAGAAAACCTATCCACACTTTAGATCAATATTGCAGCTATTGTACTTTCAACTATATTTGAACTTCCAGTGAAACCGAGAGAACACTATATGAATAAAGGATGCAAAATCTACATATAGGGAGAGGGGAAATAACTTATTCATGTCAATCCCTAGAAGCAGCAAATCAAGCAAATCAAAAGTCACTGGTTACATGCAGGAGGTAACCAGAGTTGTCCTTTCAAGGTTGTGAAACAAGCAGAAAACACTTCATACTGTCATACTGTCAAAAACTGTGGGAGTATTGGATGAATCAAAGGTTTGTGTGAAACTGTGAAAATAAGAAGTTTTACAAGTTTGGAAAACAGCTAAAAACATGGCACCTGCTTTAGAAACTCAAAACACAGCAATTTTCAAAGGATAGCAAAAAGAAAACAAAATTAACAACATTCAGAACACATAAAGGGACACTACAGAGACTAAAGGATTTTCAGCAAAACAGTGAGATTAAATTGCAACTTGTAATTAACAACCAATTTAGTATTTGATTTCAGGATGGTGATTAACAATAAGCCTTTTTTCTGTTTGCTCAGGACAAAGATTCCCAGAAATACACTGGCTGTTTAAGAGGTCAGCTGAGGACTGAGCACACATGAGAACATCTGAGCCTTGGAGAGCTCATTGTCCAGGAAGTATAACAGGCACCTTGCAAAGTAAAAGTTATGACATGCAGACAGAGGAAACCGAGTGATAACCAACAGACATGGTGCTATGGTGTCAGAAGATGAGAAGAACTGGAAGATTTGTGGAGTTACTGGATTGGTGTTGTTTTTAGTTCCTCGTCCAGGATTTTTTTTAAAATGAAGAGATAAGGGGGAAGGGACCCATTATTCTTGGGTATGAAGAGCAGGGCCAAGAAGGAAGGGAGAAAACTCTGAGATGATAAAAGCATGAGAAAGTAAAATCAAAATAACATTCATTTATTAAAAATTCCTGACCGAAAAAATTAGAATGATTTTTCCATGAAATCTATCACTACTACAGCGTCACCACACAACTTGCTTCTCCTCTCCATCTTCCCATAAAAATAAAATTTTTCAGTAAAAAAGTACTTCCTGAGGCAAACACTCAGTTCTTCCTTGAAGTGCTGAAATGGCCTGATCTCCTCTATTTAATTCCCAATATTCTTTATCATGGTTTGAGAATTCTTTATTTGGTTTGAGCCAAATCCGAAGCAGTGTATTAGACCAGAAAACAAAGCAAAGCAAAGCAAACATCAGAACAGCTGTAGAATAATGTTTCCAGGTCAGCTGTAGAGATACAAAGTCCAAGTTCTAAAATAACTAAAATTGTTTTGAAAGTATTTTAAGGAAGAACGCATCACAATGCAGGTCTCTGAATAAATGTTGAAATAATTAGCAATCTGAAAAATATCTTTAAATTTAAAGGAGTTACATAAACCCATACTTTGACTGGCTAATGTGCACTGCTGTCATAAACTTACTTCCACAAAATCAGTTGTTATGTCATTCAGACCAGAGTGGCAAGCTGAACCCTGGGCACTTGTTCTCACGACCTGCTGCAAGACAGGCTAAGGAAGGAGAAGCCACTCAAGTACATACAACAGGGCCTTCCACTGCTGAAGAAATGTACACCATGTGCAAATGAGAAGAAGAAAAGATTATTTTGACACCCACAGAGAAATATGCCTCATGTGTAACATATGTGACATAGATAATGTGTAACACGGCCGATACTTGCTGCACTCAGAGGTTCTGCCCCTGAGGATTTCACCACACTTTGAACCACAGCACCCTGCCACACAGAAAAACAGTCTTTCCTCCATTCTTAAGGAAACTTAAAACTGAGGTTTACAGGTCATATTTTCACTTGGTCTAAGGCTCCCTTAGACTATTCTGGAACTGTAAAAGGGCCTTAACTTGCCTGTAAATCACTTACTAAGGGAATGACTCCTTCATCTGGTCAAGGAACTAAAGGCTTAAAATACATAAAAACTTGCAACTTCTAAGGCAACTTTAGTCAATTCTCTTAAGGCTATCTTCAGCCATCCAGGCTGCCCTGTCTGAGGGGTAGAACAGCTAGAGAAGAGTTGAGGCCATAACAAGTCACTTTGAGCTAAGATACATTCAGGTTTCCCTGGAAACATTTTTATTTTCCTGACTTGAACAGTTTGGCCAAGAATAAAAACAACTGGCTATTTGTCCAGAACTTCTGGACACCCAGTCAAGGTACTGGGTGTTCCAAGGCCTGGAAAATATAACTCCTGAGCATGTGGAAGTCTGTACCACCCCAAAGCCCTCAGACTCATGACTTCTCTTACTGGAACTGAGCTCATCTTTTTGCAAGAGGGAAGTAAGATAAAAGAGACTGCAAGAGTGAGAGCTGCCAGATCCCTCTCTGCATGCGACCTGCCACTGTTGGCTGCTTATTCTAACAGGGAATCATGGACTTACACACTGCAAACACCTCTCTACTCTGCCCTCTCATCTGATTTTGCTGCAAAGTAAATTCAGGGAAAACAGCCGAAACTAAATATTGTGTAAGAAGTCCAAATTTCTGCAGTTTTAGGCTACACAATTAATGGGATTTAACTCCTCCATGCCACCCATGGACACTCTGAGAAGTTAGAGCAACCTATTCCATCAAGACTCAGTAAGAGATCTAGGGATGTCTCCTGGATTCCAGCCCCTTTCTTTAGTCTGGGTATCAGTCTTCCTCTTTGTACAACAGCCTTAGCAAACTGATGGTGCCAGCACTTGTATGGACCAACAAATAAAGGTTTTACTTCAATACTCCTGTTTGAGTTAGTACAAACTTCCATCATATTTTTGCATCAGTGACACTACACTAAATTACAGCAAAATTCTATCAGAGTATCTGTACTGAATGGGAGAGTACAGAAACTGCACCATCCTTAAACTGTGAAGTCATTATGACTGAAGGATATCCTAATGTCACTGAGTAGATCAGACCCCACAGATCCCTGAGGTAACAACAGTCATACCGCTGCTTTCCTACCTAAAGTGGCTTGCCTGGAACTTCAAGATTAGATGAAGTTATCGCTTACGCTGTACAGAACAGGCATAAGCATGTTCTGAAGATGCCTTGCCTTGCAAGGAAACACTTGACCTGCTGCATCCTTCCCCTGCTTACCTGCCTGTTCCTTTCTTCATTCAATATTCCAGCCAAACAGCCCAACAGTAAGTGCTTGTGCTACATTCATGCTGCAACTCATTGAGCACATACACTGCATAAATTGGCAAGCACCAGGTCATCACTGCTACCCCACCTATTTTTTGCTCAGCGCTGAGATTTCTAGCTGTGATGCATGAAGAGCATGAGACTCTGACTGCAAGGGTTATGTATTGTTCAAGTTCCAATATTCACAGCTGCAAAATCTTGGCAAGTAATATTGAAAGAGCTGCTTCTGCTTCTTACAAATCAATTCATGAGACTCAAAAATTAAAACAGATGTCATCTGTACCTCTGCTGATTCAATGCAAGCTGTCAGAAAGCACAAAGGAGAACACATTACTCAGCTCACAAAAATGAATATTCTGCCACTCAGCCGCTGCAAATGCAGAGGTGCTACGTAAAAAGACAGCAAGTGCTCAGTCACCACTGCACTCATTTAATAAGCAAGATGTCTGTGTTAGCTCAGCTTTTGTGAAATGCCTTTGCATTAGGTAGTTCAAATTAAAACTGAATGGACTTCTAAACAGACATGAACCTGTTAAGAGCTGAACTGCATGGGCTGATGTTTTTTTCTGACACCTACCCTTCCAAATTAGCCATGAAATGCTGTTTGGCACATGGAACAACTGCAGATTGCTAAGCAAGAGAGTCACATAAAATAAGTAATTTCATAAGATTCAGCTGTAATATATCAAGGGCTGAGGGGGAGGAAATAATCACCACCCCATTATAAATTATTTCCCCTGTTACTTTGCCTAGGGACTGCTGGACTGGGAGATTTTAGGCTTGAGAGACTGGTAACATGGATATAAATCAACTGCTTCCCAAAGTGTGGGCTCACTGGGTGTCTGTGTCTGTACAAATATAATGTTCTCAGGCTCTCCAGAGATTCAGGCACATGGTGAATAACAATACGTAGATCTTCCCAAAGCCATTTGAAAGATGCTTCATTTCTTAACATTTGCCTCTGCCAGAGATCGCCCAGCAGCTGAAACAGCAGGACAGACACACGTCTGTCCTCCAGCTGAAAAGGCATAAAACTCAGTCTAAGAGAAAGATGCCATAAGGCAGCTGAACTGATCTACCCAGCAAAGGTGGCTCCTCTCCTTTTAAACGG